ATATAATGCAAAAAAAGTAGGCCTAGGAGTTATATTCTTTCCAAATTGAGTTGTTGAGGCTTGGAGAATTTGCTAATTACATTCTGTTTTTGCTATGCATAACTGCTGGAAATATATTTGGAGATGAAAGTATAAAAGTGCTGAAAGATGTATGACCGCCAAACATCTATAAGAAAGGTTGAACTTAGAGGTTGGTATCATCATACAGTATTATCAATGTTACTGGCAATACAATTAATTATTATTTTTTTTACATTATTATATTTTCAAATTGATATTGTTTCATTCATCAGATGATACTTAATTTAGTAGATAAATACATTTTATATAAAACTACTTTCCCAGACTGTATAGTAATTTGCCTACTTGAGGAATATACCCTCCGCGCAAAACTTTGGCCAAGAAATCTGCGAATTTCGGAAAATAAGGGCCAATTTCTGTGAAGATGTTGCCAAAAATTAGCCTTTATACTAATCTTAACATAAGTGTGTAGTATTATTCAGTAATTGCGATTCTGCGCACCTATTTTCCTAGCAGTTTTCCACGCAAATTTGAGCTGGTTTTTTAAGGCATCATCCGTGCAATTTAAAAACTCTACAATATGGGTACTTGCTGTAGTATTTAGTATTTACAAATTTCATTAAAATGATAAATGATGAAAAGCCAATTAAATAAGATGTAATGTAACCCTTTGAGAATGATAAATAATTAGTGATAGCATTGTAGTACCCAGGGAGTAGGGATCTCTGGGGTAGGAGCTGTAACAGTACTCTCACAGTAATTGAAATTTGGATGATATTCAATCCATACTCACCCATGTCGTCCTACTCATATAGTAGATTGTGGTTTGATTATGACTTAGGCCAAATAAAATTAATTGCTAGTTTTACGTCCCTGCCCTCATCAAATTTTGGAGCCTCATGAAAAAAAATTACTATTTGCTATTTTTCAAAAAAACATTCATTTTTCTATGGACAATAAAAATAATGACTGTCTAAAAGAAAGATGTCAAGCCTAAGAAGAGGTGGAAGCATAAATAGCAAATACATTTAATACAAAGATTCATTTTAGATCTTTTATAAAAAAAAAACAACTATTTTTACTATTTTACCAGCCTGTTTACCATTAGTATGATACAGCAATAAATAGCAAATAGTAAATACTCTCACCAAAAAATAATTTAAAAATCCTGCACGTGAAACTAACAAGTAATTTTATTTGGCGTTACAATGATGTTCTAAAGTTGATACTAAGCTGATGAGCCCAAACAAACACTGAGAGGATCTGAGAAGATATTGTTCAAAGCAGAAAGAACTGTATTAAGGTGTCTGTCGATCTGTCTCCCTCACTCAATTTATCATCCCATCCCTCCCCCAAGCCTCTCATATTCAGTTTCAAGTTGCAGAACATCTATCCACCCCATAACAAATCATAATGTATAGAATGGCAAATTGAAATCTAACATTATCTTAACAATGTTGGAAGTTATCTATTGACAAATTCTTCATGACTTATACCCGATTCACACGTACAAAAATCTTACCAAATGTAACAAAATGTAATCAAAAGTAACATTTTACGGGACGTGTGAAAGTACCTCCGTGTAATATCCTTGTAAAATCTCGGAGCGTCTCGGTAATCTTTACCAGCCTCGCTGAGGCTGGTAAAGCTTCCGAGATGTAACATGGATGGATCTGCGCATGCGCAGGGATTTTAACACAACAACAATCTACTGTTTCACGGGGTTCTTTGAATTTTCTTCCTTCTGCATACGATTCTGTTCCACTAGAAATAGATAGGACTAGTTTTTCTCAATGCTGTATGAATTACCCTTGTTATTGATGTTAATTAGTAATGGTAGAAGAAGAAGATATACATAAAATGAACGTCGGGATGGTGTTAGTACTATTACTAGTATTTAAAAGAGTCGACAGAAACGTTGGAAGCTATGCCTAGTTTAGTAATAATAGTACAGCAGTTGTTAAGGGTATTGATTGCTTCGAATGTTTACTGTGATGGTGAGTTCAACAGTCCATCTGTGACAGGGGTTCTCAACTAGGCCTAGGCTAGACCTATATCGCAGTAGGGGAAAAAAAATGGTTCATTGAATAAACACTAAATAAATTTTACACAACCTTGGCATTACCTTACAGACGCGTGTGAATGCTTTTTATCTCGGTAGGAATAACTCGGGAGATCGCTCGGTTACAATTTGTTACTTTTTGTTAAAATTAACTTCACGTGTGAATCGGGTATTAGAGTACAGGCACAGGAAAGTTGTATAGCAGCACTCATTTGAATGCTTCCAAATTTTAATAACTAACTCACCCAACATTCAATCTTGATTCTTGCTGTCTAGGATATGTTTTTCTTAGGTGCTATTTTAAACTCTAATCTTATTTCTATACTGTATACTCTATTTCCATTTGTTTTCTTGTGAGCTTGTGTGATTCTTCACATAGATAAAGAAACTATTTCCTACACTACCAATATCCTAGGCCAGAATGTTTTACTATGGCGGGAGGATGTTGATAGCTATTCAAATATGGACTGAACCCTACTGATAAGATATACCTCTAAAACTAGTGGCAGAGGGTGTTAGTATAGTGGTTCATTTGTTTAGTTTATGCCATGGGGTCCATAGTGACTATCAAGAATTGGAGGGAAATGTACCTGTAGCAGTCCACCTGATGCACTCTAGCAGACTGTGTCATGGAAGGCATGCTCGATTTAAAGAAAAATGCACAATTAAGGCGGCAACCTCAGCCAGTGTTGACAGGTATAGAATAACTGTTAAATAGTGTGTTAAATCAAACCACTTTTTCATTTTAGCTCACTTCACTAATAGCTATATAGAACATTCATGGCTTATATTTAGCTATCTAGGAAATGTTATTCTAGAACCTGTGTATTTTATTTATAGGGCTATGGCACCAAATTCAGTGGCTGGATTAAAAATTTTTTATTCAAATTGCAAGTCTGAGAGTGCAATTTCTAGCCTTCTATCTAGAGGTGCCATAACCATATTTTTTCTTACCTCAGCCTGGACCATGGTAGAGCTGAGGTAGTCTAGACTGAAAGTCCCTCCCTCCCTCCTGTGACATATTTGATGTCTACTGCATAATGTGATAACATACATTACAACAACCATATTTTTTGGCACTGTTTCAAATAGCTCCACTAAATGCTATGCAGACTATGCACTTTGACTATCTAGATAGAATTGACAGTTTGTACTGTGGGAAATTCCCAGAGAATGATTAGGCCTATATTCTGATCAATAAATATAACATTATTATTATTGATTGAATATATAATTCTGTTACTTCACTATTAATTACTAGGTGCTTTAGAAATGTACCTCGTAAAATATACTGTAGATTTGCTAATTATAAAATTGGTCAATGCTATTAAAACCTATGAGAATGAGTTGGGCCAACACAAGGTCAATCAGCACACTATTGGCATATGATGTGCCATAACATTTATGTTCCCTCAACCCACCTTTATTTATTGTTTTTTTTAACTTTTGACTAGTAGTACGTTGTTAGCATAAATTTATTAAACTGCACATTTATTAATGCCTATGTTACCCCAGTATCATTATAATTTTAATTTTTGTCATATTTATTAATATATTATATTGTACAAACGTTTAAAAATGGAGATGAATTGTTCAAATTTACCATAGGGCATTAAGATAGCACCAGTCCACCAATCAGAGACCTGGGATTTAGGCCCAGGACTCTGGTACTGAAAAAAAATATTTTTTTTGAAAAAAAAAAACATTTTTGAATTTTTTATTTTTTTAAAATTTTATTTATTTATTTTTTTCATTTGTTTTATTAAATAGTTAGTAGATATTGTTTGCATTATCTAAATGTTTTACTTTGAATATCAATGCACCAGAAAACAAACCAAGGGTTATATTTGGCTTTAGCAAAATAAAAAATAAAAAAAAGCCTCCTCCCTCATCACTTTTCCTGCCCAAATAGGGTGATAAACTAATAATATTTTTTATAGGGCCTTATGTAAAATCGGAACGATATCCATGGTGTTTAAACATTTGTAAAAAAATTCATATGTTATGTTTTACCTTTTGTGTTATTAGTTCGAAAAGAACAGGAAAACATTTTTCTTGCCATTTTCTTTGTAGTCACTGTAAGTCTGTATTCTATAATTGTATGTCAATAATTGAATGCTTCATTATATATCATTGAGAATTGATAATGAAATGTCATCAGATTTTAAATTTTTTCCAGATTTTAGTACAGGCAGTGACTTGTATTTTTCACCCCCAAAAAATACAGTTTAATCTATAGTGCTAGAGATATAATTTTGACACTACACCAAATACTGCATGTTTTTGTGATATAGGTCTAAGGTTTATCAGGTGTACTGAATATCCATGTACATGTACAATTCATATAGTCCATTTTAAATTATATCACTTATTTATCATTGGATTTATTTGAATATCTAATTTGAACTTATAATTAATCACGTTGCACTTGAGTTTATCAGCAAACCTTTATTGTTTGATAAGTAATAATATCATCAACTGTAAATAGGAAAGACTCAGTTAAAAACCTGAATAACAAAGAAATATACTTGAAACAAGATAGCTAAAATAATATATGGTACTTATCATGAGCAATAATTTGTTTATATGTATTTCTTTTTTTGTAAGCCAAAAAAGATATATAATTACCTTTATCACACTAATGTTGATTTATTTTATATTTGTGTAATTTTTAACAAATATCTTTTGTGTCCAACAGCAAGTATCTCACCAATTTTCAATATGGACAACGCTTTATAAACCAAGTTTTTTTGTGAGACTTGGTAGTGTTGTGAGAAAACGTCCTACCGTCACTAGAATTGAACCCAGCCTCTGGAATTAGAAGGATGATATGTAGATTGTGTATATTTGTTACTTAATGTTTTTGCTTGTTTTATTTTGAAATATCATTGTATAATTGTTATTTTCTTGTTTACAGATGAACAAGAAAGAGTGCAGAAAAAGACTTTCACAAATTGGATCAACTCCTATCTGTCAAAGGTAAATTTTTAAATTTTAAATATTTCATTTTTTTCTTAAATTTTTAAAATTTTTTAACTGCTTCATATTATGCTTTATCAAAAATGCACAATTCATAATTCTATTGAAATTATAACAAATCATGACCCTTTTAAAGGTCAAATTGAATGTTATTACAAAAGATACACATCAAAATTACAACATGAAAAAACAAGACAATAAATTACAATTAACAAGAGGTTTCTTAGCTCCATTCAAGGTCATAGTCAAGTGTAAGCAAAATTACAGGAGAGTTAGAAAGGATTTAACACCTTAGTCCAACCATGGTTTGTGAAATAATTTACTTTATTTATCTTTTCTTTTCTCTAGGTTGAATTGTCTTTGCTACAGGGGGGTGGATTGTTCGCCTTCTTTAACCCTATCAATCTGCCACAGATCATTACCATAATTAGATATAAATGTAATAATGGGGGATGTTTCCAGGTGTGGGGACTATATAAATCATTGATAGTGCAGATGTACTAAATACAATTCTTAAAAGCTAAAAATAATACGTATTGATGCATAAGAACTGTAGTAAATGTCAAAGTTCATTTGGCTGCAGTATATTTACTTCAGCAGCATACAGTAGGAAATATGTTTAATTCAATTTCATAGTAATGTCAAAGTTTATATTGTAGTATATTAAGGTCAAAATTCATTATATGATTAATTGTTTTATATATTTTTTTTATATAGAATGTTATTAGAAATAACTTTTTGTAGATGACATTTTTGTAGATGACAAATCTTCATTTTTTTTTTAGAAAAAGATATAAATTTCAGTATTAGCAGGAAGTCAAATTAGGTCAGTTTGTTTAGTCTCTATAACCATATGGCAGCCAACATACCTAGGACCTTTCATTTTAAATCCTTTTCAAATAAATTGACTTTGTTTACAGTAGGTAAATTTTTGATATGGATTTATGTTCTTTCCATATAAAAATTGAGATATGCGTTTGCAGCAATTTCATAAAACCATACAATTCGGAGATGGCTTAGCGTACTCTGACGACAACATTTATACCAAAGGCATTTTATTATTAAGGGTCAAGTAGACCTACTTTGCACCACAAAAACTAATTCATATACGATAGTTTAAAATGTATTTCCTTTACCCACTGTACAATAGGTTTTATGTTTGCTTTAATGTACGAAAGCACTTTGTTAATGTACTTTGTGATGATAGTTTGCTGGGCCAGGAGCCACATATTATGTTTATTATGTTACCAACAGATTACTTGACTTGTAATGTTATGTACAGTACTGAAGAATGCTGTATAAGTTTTTATGTATTTTTGGTGTTAGTTTCTAAAACTTTATCACCAAATATGATACTTTATGGTGAGAACATTCGTATACACGGTTGTTTTCATTAATATTGATTTATAGTTTGATAAAAGCTGTACTGTACAAGAGTAATGATAAAGATTAAATGTTTCTCAAACATTTCTTGATGAGAAATTTAAATAACACTGAAGGGAAACTCTTTTAGAGATATGAATAAATAAATTTCATTCTAAACCAGTTTCTGTTGTTTTTCTTGACCATAGCATCGACCACCTTATGAAGTAAAGGATTTATTTGAAGATATCAAAGATGGCACAATACTGCTAGCCTTACTGTCAGTTCTTTCTGGTGAACGATTGGTGAGTTCAGTAACTCATAGCTTCTTAAGTATAGTCTAATCAAACATGCACAAATAATATTATGGTCAAATATTCCATATATCACCGGGGGGAGGGGGGGAACCAGGATTTGCCTGACAGGGGGTCTGATTTTCCCTATGAAATAGACTCATGGATAAGAGCATAAGTGGGTGTGGTCAGGCATTGCTCAAAATTTCTCAAAAGTGATCTAGAGAAAGCGAAGCATCCCAGAAATTATGAAAATTTAGGAGTTTCAAAGGCTTTTTTCAGCGATTTTAGAGTCTGCTAGTATGTACAAAATTTGTATAATTTTTTCCTCTCCTCAACGATTGATGTTTTTCTCCCAGAGAGGGCCCTGGCCCCCCTCCCCCCAATCCCACTGGCACCATCCCTGTCTATCACAAGAAACTTATGCCGGGTATATAATGATTTACATGGTGACATTCAAATTATCATCCATAATTATGTTTACTAAAACAAGTCACAATACCTTCATTACTGTATATTTTTAACAAACAAAATATATCAGTTATCCTAGGGGGTTGTAGACATATACTCACATACAACTATCCTATTATCCATAGAAATTAACTTATTAATTATCAATAACTAAACTCCAAGCCTATGTTCAGACTAGCGCTCATGTCAAATGTGACTTAAAGCCTGATGTGAGTGTGAACACATCATAAATTGAAAACAATTTCATGCAACATGTGCATCAACACAGGCTTGTTCTGACTACAAGTAAACCAAAGTCAATCAAACGAGGCTTCACTGTCTAGTTTAACTGCAACCGTTAACATGGTGTATATCTTATTCCATTTGTTAAATTTTCTAGTGTAATTGTTTATGTAGTTGAATTACATTTCAATCACCAATCAAATTATCTTTATTGTTTTTCACATTAACTTTCATCCACGTATATGGTATCTCATGGCTTTATTGTTCTTTAGTTTTAATTTCTTGTGAAATTCAATATATAATTTCATGATAATTTTCAAGTTGCCATTGTCACCGATCTGTTTGTCTTTTCAGCCTGTTGAGCAAGGTAGAAACTTGAAGCGAGTTCACTTTATTACAAACATTAACACTGCTCTCAGGTTTCTTGGAGCGAAAAAGGTATGTTCTGTTTTAAATTGGATTAGAGGAAAAGTCATGGAAAAAAGACAGAAAAACTAAGCCATTGGCAGTATTCGACTGATTCATTTTGTTGACAAAGATATTTCATTGAGTATTATTTTCATTTTGCTGGTTCGTAAAATAGACTTCGTTGACAACAGAAATTAACATAAACCAGATTATGTTCAATTTTAATAAGTTATCCACATGACCAAAACAAACAAAGCTGATTGTTCAGTTTAGCAACATTTGCGTTAATGTAATTTAGATTAAATTTCAGAAAATAGGAAAAACCCATACTGTCACAAGCCGAAGAAACCTTGATTACGCCAGCATGTGTTGCGGTAACTACGCAGTCATTTTGATTTGTCAAGTATTTACCAGTTTTCTATTTGTCTGGTCGTCTTCGTTATGTAAAATTTTACCACTGTACAGGTGGGCATGGTTTAACAAAGAACGACCAGTCGAATATTGCCATTGAAACAAAAAGACTAAAAACAGAGACAAAATGAAAAATGCTACATAGTTTTTCTTCTTTAGCCTTTTGCCGCTTGAATTTGTTTACTAATTATTTATCTTCACTATGTACTGCAGTCATGGATAATGTCATCGTAGAAACTATATGTAGTATCGCATCTCCACTACTAGTATAAACGAAGTATGTGAATTATCTTTAAAATTTCAGATAAAACTGGTTAACATAAATGCAAGTGACATTGCTGATGGGAAACCTCACATTGTGCTAGGCCTTATATGGACTATCATTGTCAACCAGGTATGTTTTTTATTATTATTATTTATTCCTTATTTTAAGAGGGCAGTACTTACAGCAAAGCTGACCTGAAGAACGTCCCTCTAAGAATAGTCAATAAAAAGATATTTAGAAAGAAGGCTATTTAGTGAATTTAATTTACTTTTTTCCAGATATAAAATCCATACATAAATATAAAGAATAACTATTACTACTGTATACTTTATATAGTAGAACTAAATATAAGAAAATAAGCCAGAGTAATCTAGGCCTACTTCAATTTCATGTGATATCAATAAATCAATCTTGATCATCTTCGGACGTGAGATTCAACAAAAGCATGATTATCAATTCTCAGAGCGTTAGGGGCATGGATTCTACCAATAAAACTATAAATTGACTTCTTCCAATATTCATGAAATGAAAGTACTTCATTATTTACAAACATTATGCTAACACTATTATTCTTAGGTAATCTTAACAGTGTGAATGTACTTTACCTGGATGAGTCCATATGCCAATTTCAAACTAGGCTTAATAAATGATGATCATATTATTTTTTTAAGTAAGTTCTATAAAAGAAACCTTGGCACATTGGTTCATCCATGTATTTCACAATCATACATAAATAACCATCACCACTTTGGGTTTGGGTAGGTAGCACTTGTACTAGAAAATACAAATATGCAACTACAAATAATTATGGGAAGAAAATAAGGATAGAAAAATGATAAATAGAACAAAAACTGAAGTAGTTAACAGGTGTTTGTTAAGTTTTACTCTATTTTAAATATTTCTTCACACCAATTAAATGTAAAGTAAAACAACTCAATTTGTGTTGGGTAACTTGGAACTTTAGGTTATGTCCCAAGGTACTGTAGCAGCAGGAGCCGCAGTGTAGTATTATTCTAATGGTGAGATTAGGAAGCTTTAGATTGCATGACGACGGTAGGGCGTAGAACATTATCACGTCACATAAAGTCATCTGCGCATGCGAGAACGTTGAGTTCTCGTGGTGGCGTGGATTCTAGGATCTAATCTGGCCAAATCATAGAACAACTAGAGTGCTGACAAGATGGCGAAGCAATGTAGAGTTATGTATGTGTACCATCCAAGATGGCCGTCGTAGTAAAGCGCCACCTTCAGGCTTAGTATACTTATTACTATAAATAAGCCCTCTGACTGACTATTATTTCATTAATGATAATGAGTAATGGTAATAACAAATTATTAAACTATTGTAGCCAAAAAGAGGCCAGTTGGAGCATCTTATCCAAAAATAAAGTACCAAAAAATGAAAATTAAAATCGTGTAGATTACACCCATACACCGCAACGCTCAAGTTTCAAACATACGGGTAAATAGCTGTACTGAACTTTCTGTGTAAATTGAGGGCGCAATTGCTAATGATGGGGCTTAGGCGAAATTTGATTGGCTAAATCTATGACAGCCATTTTGGATTGTACACACACACAGCTCTGCGTATTTCGAACGTCGAATACATTGCAGTTAGCGCTCTATTATTCTTATTATATATCTATGGGCCAAATCTACTTTGTGCAGAGAACGTAGGATGGTCACGCATGAGTGAATCCATTCTAGCATCACATTGTCGCTCAAATCAGAAGTTCCCTATTTGAAGAAAATCTTTTTCCAAGAGTGTAGTTCTGTGTCTCATTATTAAGCTCTGACCACACTATCAAATTTGATGAGACAAATTTGTGTGATGTGCCCATATATGGGCATGATGATGTCATATTACATGAAAATAAAATATGGGAATATCACATTTTTGTGTCACATACAAGTTGATAGAGTGGACAAAGCTCTAACATTGACAATCTCTTTGATCTATTTATCAATGAACAACTCAATGTAATTAAATGAGTGAGGTTTTCCAGACATGAAACACAGATACTATACAATGTACAGTATTTAATGTGCCTTACCTGCATATATTCATTTGAATAATATACTGAAAATGTTATATGCTTCAGTTCATCACGTACAGTATGTGCAATCTGTAATTTTGAATGTCATATATATGGACTCTTTCAATATATTGTGATATATAGTTACATTAATAATGTATAATCCAGAAATTTAAACACAGAAGAAATATATACTGTATATTAACTGGTATACTATAATTTTAAAGAAATAATTTTCTTATTCTACAGGTTCTTGTTTAATTAATAATGTTTGTATGATGAAAATTTGGAAATGATCCATGAATTAAAAATATATAATTGGCTTTGGTGTCAGAATTATACAGGATAAGGGTCCAGACTACCACAAAGGCCAACCACGGCTAGGTCCATTATTATATGTTCGTGCCACCTTTAAATGACTGGAAGTGGCACTCTCAAACTTAAATTTTGATCTTTTTTTTTCTCCTATTTTATTTTTTATCTCCAAACTTTAGGGGGTCCCCTTGAATTTTCATTTGGTATGATGCCAGCTAAATGTATATAAGCTTATATATGATTCTCTTGAATTCGTTTGTACTGTTCGTTTAAATACCAGTGTCTTGTATTAACCAAACTGTAATGTTTATCTAGGGTATTGTTTGGGTATCATAAGATATAGGTTTACTGTTATTTTAATTATTTATTGATTTCAGTATAAAGTTGACATTAATAAAAGAAGATGGCAGGTCTTGAATGGGATTTTTACACTTTAAACCAAAAATGAAAAGAATAATAAAACATTCATGATCTTAGTATTATTAATCAATATGTAAAGTAATCAATATTTCATGAAACATCATCTCATTCTGAATAGTATACTGGCTGTAACATCTGGAGGATAGGTTTCTCTTATAAATATTGAAATTATTATTAACGATTCTTAAAATTAATTACCAAATGTTATTTATTTGTTGTGTTTTACCTTCCAGTTCTATGACCCAGAACAAGTAAGTTTTGGAATCGTCCAGAATTTAAATATTTTCTCTTTTATTATATGGTTTTTGCACATTTAAAACTGCTTCAAGAAATGTTCAATATTGATTCAAAAAGTTTCTTTTTATTATTAAGAAAAATTACTTATGTTGTAATTGTACTGTACAAATCTAAAGAACAATATTTAATTATCAATTGCAAATTATCTTCTAATGGTGACATACATAATTAATTAAATTAAATTTAATGAATTTTACTAAAGTGAAATAATTTTACATGTTCTTACGTTTAACATGTAAATATTGGATTTTTCTTGAAGCTTTCCTTATATTGATTTAGCATTTGTAGGTATCTATGTATGCTGCTATCTTAAAAATTCAGTTACTGTGTAAACTGCATGATTTGTATTGTATTCTACATAAATTTTCTTCAACTTTTTCTAAGTTTCCATAAAATAAATGCGTCATATCTCGAAGAAGAAATTTTCAATGAATGTATATCTTGGCTTATTTTTCAGTTGCATATACTTACTGTTTTATTTAATTTTTCCATTCTTTCCTTTCTCTGGATCCTATGTTATCTTTCCGTCGTGGTAACAGTCACGGTTACCAATCCTCATGGGCCGAGCTGTGAGTATTTTGTTAGCTGCTCCTGCTTCCAATGTGAAATTGTGGAAGTACCATTATACAGATGCAAATGTCAATGTGTAGAAGGGATACAATAATTGTATTAAATCAGGGAGCAGTCATATAACATATGAGAAGTCTCAAATCCAACATCAAACATTAAAGTTTGTGGTACCTCTGTTTCCATTGTATAATTAAGAAGCGAAATAGTTCGCGCATGGTCAATGGCGCATTGTTGGTTGTCACATTCTATGGGCTGTATAGTATTAATGAATGTTATGAGGTGACATTTTGTTTTCTAAATGTATACACTAGTTAATCTACACATGAAGGTGAACTGTAAAAACGACCCTAGGAAAAAATGGCCTTTTTCAGAAATTTAAAGGAAGGTGCTCAGTTGTTTATTTTTTGGGAAATTAAAAAAAGTTTTTCAAAGTCAAACAACTGTTTTAGTGTCAAAGAGCATATTGCAGATGTTAGCGACAGTGCTTTTCAAACTTCGGTACTGCTAGTATAAGGTCAGAGGACATAGACATAAGAGAAATCTAATTAGCATAACAAAAGCGAACATAGAGATTCATTTTGATTATTTAATATAACTAGTTTGAGATTTCTCCATGTAATATGCTTGATCTCTGTTGAGTTGTAACCTTATTGTAGCCTGTAACCAGAGGAGTTTTGTATGGTTTGGCCGAATCTCCTTTTTGGAGCAACCACTTCTGATAAACCAAATGGCACGCTTCTGTGCGATCAAAACCATCAATTTGGCTGTCAAAAAACCTTAATTTACTGACCTAGTAATTTTTGTTCTCCTAGGTCCCACTGGGGTGACATTCGGACCACTGACTATCTTAGAAAACTCTCGTTGCCAAGAATCCCGGTTATAAGCCTTTAACCCCTATTAAAATTGCATTTTCAATGACTTAAAAAATGACTGAATTATATTTTGGTTGGTAAACACAAAGAACCTAAAAGTGGCACTGTTTTGTGTATTTTTGTAGACAAAAAATGATTTTAGTGTCAACACAAAAGACACAAAAATGAATTTCAACTACTAATACATCTATTTTGTATGTCAATGTATTTGAGAGCTGTGGATCTTTTCTGGTTCTTGATAACTGCTTGATTATTTAGCATGACTTGGCTTTGTATTTTTTGTTCTCTATTAGTAATCTACCTGATATTAAAAAATGTTTGTATTTAATATTTTATACACTATAAAAAATACTATTTTGGAATACTATAAATTCAGGCTAAACAATTATGAATGTTAACATTATCATACATTAAGGTAAAATGTAAGAGATGTTCATTTATAACTTGCTTTTTTAACAGTTTATTTCTTTCTTTAAGATAAATTGTATGTTTTTGTAATAGAGTTAAAATTAATAATATGCTTTTTTTTATTTTCTTTGATTTGCTTTTCTTGTCAGTATGCTTAATTTTTTGTGCCAGTATCTTGATCTCAATTTATGAAAGTTAACAATTCGAATTACATATTCTAAAAATCTGTATTAAGGTAGATATTTTTTGGGTTGGTCATCTCAAAAATATGTACTAAAAGTATTTACCTTGCATGTAAGGTGAAACATTTTTTATACCTTGTCTTGCAAACCCATCACCCTCCAATATTGATTACTTGGAATAAAAATTTATGAAATGAAAGAAATTTTATTTTTGGCCAATTAGCACACCTACCGCCACGAAAAAGTGGATATTTCAGAAAAAAGTAAAATTTTTTTCTTTATTTTTATGACGCCCGTCGCTGCCTTAAAATCTCCAAAAATAAGATATGTATATTTCTTTCTCATTATATAAAGTTAGAGCATGTTGCTATCCCATTACTACATTGTTTACATTAAACAATAAAATTTTATTTTTATTTCCTTCTCTGTCTCAATGTTTTGGCAAAACTATTTGCTAAATAAGAAGGCTAAATTTTATATTTATTTTTTTTCCGCCCTCCTCTGACGATCTGTGAAAAATTAAGTTTGTGAAGCAAGGTATAAAAAATGTCTCGCCTAGTAGAAAATGGTGATGAAAATTACAGTCAAATCTATTTTTTTATTTTAAGCCATAGCGATGAAATATAAGTTTATAATATTCAGCTATAATTTTCTGGAATTTTCTTAAGTTTGGGAAAAATAAATACAGCACTTGAAACATTATTCGTTAATTTACAGATTGAGCAAAATGCTCTGCAGGCCCTCAAACTTGAAGAGCTCTCTGCAAGTAATTCAAGTCTAGATAGTGCTTCAGGGGGTGCTGGAAATGGGCCTTCGCCAGCAAAGCGACCAGCACCGACCAAAGGCAGGCTTACTGCTAAGAAAGCACTCCTTGAGTGGGCTAAGAAGGCATCTGCAGCAAAGTAAGTTTAGGAGCTTATACATAACATTTCCAATTGTGTTCGAGGGTGAAATTGAGAATTTATTTTTATGTGTTAACTCCATCCCAGTCAAAAGTGTCATCTTTATGATTACGTTCTTCACGATCTTCTGATTTTGTTAAAATGAATCTTTAACAGAAAAAAACACTTACCAGCATTATCATTATCATCGTCTTTATCATCCTTCTCATTGATAATTTGTAGCTCTAGAAACAATCGGCTGATTAATTAATTCGATTGATTAATAAATCTTTTTGTATGAGAAGCCTTAGGGCCAATATACTCACTTATCTGATAAATTAATAGATCTTTTTTGTATGGGCGGCCATCAATATACTCTACTGTCTTTATTACACTGCCCTCATCGGAGCTTTCGACATTAAGAGAACTTGTTTGTCAACAAACAATAAATTTCCTCTTTTCAGGGGCCAACATAAGATTGATATAGAAGTCAAAGACTTTGGTCCAAGTTGGCGTGATGGCCGAGCATTTAGCACCCTCTTACACAACATCAGAGAAGGCCTTGTGGACTTGAATAAACTGAGTTCCAGAAGCAATATCGAGAATCTTTCCAATGCTTTTGATGTTGCCGAAAAACAGCTTGGCATTGCTAAGTTACTGGATCCCTATGGTAAGATGGTTGGTGGTTTTTATGACAAGTAAAAATCAATAATAAAAATAATGTGAACAATAAAAATATAATATGATGAACATTGTTATCATTATCTTTATCAACATTATAATCTGTAGCCTTTATAAGCTCTGCAGGTTGACAATCTGTCCAAGCAGTGATGCATACTGTATAATTCAGGGGCTAACCTGCCTGACAGCAGTTCTGGCAATTTTCTACAGAGTCCAGTTCTCAGCTTCTTTGAGATGTTTTGAAAATACCCAAAGAATTTTTGTTAAAAAATTTTAAAATGTTTTATTTTTCTTTTTGATCCTGTGAGTCTATGTGGGTGGCTCTGTCAGATGGGGGGCTTAATCCACTCCTTTGCTGGCACCATCACTGTTTCGAAGGTAGCACTACATAGGTTTATTTTGAGTGGTCCTTGAGACAGCTGCTGATCATGTCTTGTGTCTTTACCACTTGACTTTTGGTCTCCCAGCTTGTCTCAAATGTCTAAATGTCTCATCTTGTTATGCCTTGTTCACCATTTTATTCCTCTATTAAAACTACTGTGATTGTTCTCACTGCATCCATGAATACCTTTTTCTTTATTCCTGGCACTAATTACTCTGAAGTGATTATGCGCTTTTTATATTGAATTACAATATTAACTATCCATAAAATATTATGAACTACATGCAAGGGCTCAATATAAACAAAAACAGTATACAATAGATAGATTCAAGAGGTCCAGCTGGCTTGGGACCCCCTAAAATTTACATTTAAATTGTTAGATTGCCATTTCCATCCACATAGAAATGACATAGTCTCACAATTTTAGGTGGGGCTGAGATGGTTTGGCCCCTCCATCTGTAAAATTGACTTTCTGGTCTACCCCTATTTCAAATTTTTGGATCCGTGACTGAGCTGATTAAAAAATATTGTATACATGTACCATATGTATACACAGTTGTGTAAGTGCTCACTTAACTAATTATTTTTCCTTATAGATGTTGACACTGCTAAACCAGACGAGAAGTCTATTATGACATATGTTTCCCAGTTCTTTCAGACATTCCCAGAAGTTGGAAGAGAAACACAAGTAAGCTTCTGAATAAAATGATATAGACCTAGAAATATAAAAGTATCTGTGTTTAGTCTAGATGATATTAGTGACATATCTAGGAGTTTTGAAATGAGAGTGGGGCTGATGGGGGTGTGGAAGTTAGTATGATGATTGGTAAGGGGGCGCCAGCTCACAGAATAGGGAGATTTGAGGTAATTTTTAGCTTCTTGTGCGTGATTTTTTTTAGGCGAGGATGACTGAGATATGCCACTGGAGGATAAACTGAAAATTAAAGGCAAACAGCACTTTACAGACTAAGAAATGTATTGACACACAAACTTTCGACCACACATTGGTCTTCATCACGTGAATGTACAAATAAGATAAAAATATGGTCATATATACGGGATAAACAATAAAAGGTGGCTGCTATACAGCTAGCCCGCGAGCCGTCTGGCCGTCTGGCCGTCTTTTGAACGGCCAACAATTCTTAAGGACGGCCACTTTTACCGTGACGGCTTGGCCTACTCAGCTCAGCCTAGCCTAGTTGGGCCTGATATATCTTTAGCAAATTCTTTATTTTCTTTGAATCTGTTGAATGTTGCATAAGCTAAAGCATATTTACATTTGATAAATAACCTTTATTGCTTGAATTTACATTGTTTTCATACCAACATTCTGTGTGGATTCCCAAAAAGGTAAGGCTAAACCATTGTCTACCCAGGGAAAATAATGTGAGTAAACAAACGTAGCCGTGGGCAATCTATGTTTATAACTGAAATATCTTTGTGATAGCTAACTTAACACTTTTCTTGTAAGGACAAGTTTTTCGTTTTCAATTTTGGACGGCCTATTTCATTTTTCTTGCTAAACCCCTGCTCTACATGCAACAAAAATTAATTAATTTATTAATTATTAATAAATTTGTTTTGACTGAAAAGTCGTAAATTATTATCTTTTACATCCAGCAATCTTTCTATTCTCAAATTTGATTTTACTTCCTCCATCCACATTCATCTCTAAGTGAAGTCTCCCATTTTATAATTGAATAGAATAATGTGACTAATTGTCAATTAAGGTTGAACTATATAGACAATGGGGAAAAGCAGGAAACATCACAGCAAATGTTTGTTTTCTCTTGTGTACAACAATGCCGGTAGGCCTACTCTATAATGGTATATAATGATGGACATTTAATGAGCCTACAGTATATCATTGAATACTCTTACGGCTGCCTGTGTTTGTCATATGCATCATGCAGTAACATTTCTCATGACCTTTAGCTAGTGCCCTAATGACATTTAATCTGGTTATTTTTAATATAATTTTGTATTCATAAACAACATGTTATTGTGTGTCTTATATTTAGGGCACTTTTGGGAATGAAGCAAGCTATGTTTGGTTTTCAATTTTTAAAGTGCAAAATACAATTCACTGAAAAAAACGAATTAATAAGATCATATGTTTGTCTGTTTGTTTGGCTGCTAGTATAATTATGTAAAAATAAATTAATAATAAAAATATCAGAAATGTATACAATGCCAAATCAAAATACTGTACTCAAAGGAAAGCAATAGAAGAATCCATCCACACTAAGGCCACTGAAACCGTAGCTAAAACGTAGGAAGCAAGTAATTTTGGTTTATCATGAGATTAATTAAAAACAGACTAAAAATCTTTCAGTAAAAAGATATTTTGTATGAAAGTTTTTTTTAGCATGATTATGCAAAAAAAAACCAAAACTAATGAATAAGTCATCATGAAATTTAGTGAAGTAGTATACTGGTCACAGGATCTTTTTTTGGTTGAAATGATCAAAGGTCAATATCTAAAAAAAAAATGACATTAACAAAGTGGTCTTGATGGAGGTACGCCCCCTTATCGAGTGGCTGCTCTAATTCCGTGAAATGAAAGTACACAATCTTTCACTTACTACATTGCTTATGTTGCTACTTCAGCTATGAATTATTATAATGCAACCAGCAATTATCACTTATGATGATAGAAGATTCCTTTGTTGTACACCGCTCAACTAAAGTAGGCCAGATGTCAGTAGAAAGGCAGCTGAGTATTTCTATACTGTTTTTGATTTTTGAGACAAAATTATACCACCAGCCTTAATACTTAGGAGTAGGCTAATCCTGATTGTAAAATTTAAAATTGTTGTTTAAAAAGCTGTTTATTAAAAAATATTTAGATTGCTATTGTGATAAATATTAGATTGCATTGCTCGAGCGAAATCATCATTCACGAAGGTACACATAGAGTTGTTTCTACGATTGATATACATTAAAATAAAGTTAAAAACACTTTTCTCAAACACATACGATATCCATACGAAAAAAAAATTTTTCTTGAACCCATGGGATGTCTTTTTTGACGAATTTTCATATAGTAATTACCAAACATTTGTGGTAGCTATAATGTTAAACATGTATAAAACACATAGAAATATTGTTTTTAAAGAAAATTACATTTTTAATGTAAGTTTTTTTCCACCAGACTGCTGCAGCTTTTGAGGAACAGAAAATGCGTAGTGAAGTAATGGAATGGATTGGCAAGAGTCAATCAACAATCGCAAGCACAAAGCCACAGCATATCACCCGTGAAGAAACCTACTTGGTAAGCCAAAACATTTTTTTACCTTGTTTCTGCGAAAGTACTGCCCACCGATAGTGATGGTTTTGAATAATAACAAAGTTTTACTTCTGGCCTATTAGTGCACCCACTGGAAAAATGGAAATTTGAGAGGAAAAAAAATCATGCCTGCGAACACCACAAACCTCCCAAAAAGAAACTCATAATAATGATTAAGAATAAAGCCAGGCATTCGCTGTGCATAACAGTCATCGACCGACTCTAATCGATGAACCACGCAATGCAACGATCTGCGCGCAACAGATTTTTTTAATGATGGTCCTTCCAGACTACAACCGACAGCAGACGGCATCGTGTCGTCTAGGACTCACAGGTAATAGAGTTCCATCCGTGGTGCGACGGTCGTACCACTGACATATGACGCGGTGAGTGCCCGGCTTTAAAGTGAAGGATATTGCCTGTTTAGTGTCTATGAAAACATGTAAATTTACAGAAAAGAAAATTGATCACACCAGTCACCGCACAAAATCTCCCAATAAAAGAAATGTATGTTTCTTTCAGACATTTAATAAAGCATTTCAATTCAATTCAAATTCAATTCATGTTCCACACCTTAGGCCCTATATACGAGATCCCTTGTCGGCCAACATTTGTGCGTTTTAAGTCGATAACAAGGTTTTGCTTATATCGGGTATTATGATTATGGTACGAGTCAAGTGTACGGAACAATTTGTCAATCAAAATACTGAATTATTTACATCACAACATCGCAATATTTACAACGATCTTGAGCAACAGCAAGAGCCAAATGCGTTTTTTAACATTATGAACTTTTATTATTTTATTCATCCGTCACATTTTTTTTCTCCTTCACATAGAATATTTAGGCAGAAGCATTTTGATTGTTGAGACAATTATTTTTTACACTCATCTCTGATGATTTTCCAAAATAATGTTATAATGTTGAGGCAGGCTAACCATTTTGATAAATGAGAAAACAATTATTTTTTCCACTCATCTCTGATGATTTTCCAAAATAACATCGAATCTTTTAGGGAGAACCATTTTGATAAATGAGAAAACAATTATTTATTCCACTTATCTTTGATGATATTCCAAAATAATGTTAGAATCTACTCAGAACCATTTTGATAAATGGGAAAATAGTTATTTTTTCCACCCATCTCTGATGATCTTTCAAAATAACATTCACAAGCAAACCAAAAAAGTCATGCCTAAGCTGAGCTTGTTCGTATTGTTCCAGAATGTTTGGTTTTTTAGTGTCCTACTTGGCTGTTTTGTTAATGTGTGTGGGTTTGTTGCTGTTAGTCATATGAATTGATGTCTGATCTTGATTTCCTATTGTGATTCATTGTTTTTCATATTTAGAAACTTTGGCAACATTGCTAAGAGGTCATTGTCATCTAATAAACAATTCCACTCCTACATTTAGTCATAGTACAATTTCATTAAGGAGGACAGATTAAATTTGTTTAAAAAAATCATTTCTACTCGTATAATAAAATAAAAATGTTGTCAATGAAATATTTTAAAAATTTTATAGCAGTAGCGAACTAGCGTTTTCCTTCCTGTTATTTCTCTCCATGTTGATCAATAATAATAATAAATAGGATTTGCATAGCACATCACACTTTTACTCAACATATAAAATGAGTTGCATGCATTGTTGCATACATGATAATCATCTCTACTCAACATGTAAAAAGTTATCTATTCATTTACAACATATTTCCATGTTGCAGACATTTCTCGAGATTCAGCGAGGGCACATAAAAAGTAAACACCTTGTAAGAGAAATTAAAACAAAAGACCAGAAGAAGATGTTAATTCAGCTAACACGAGAGGAAGTTGACCTGACCATAGAGGAGTGGACCAAGGTGTCATCTAATTATGAAAAATGGAGGGATCAGATAGAGGGCTCACTACCATTCCAACTGAAAGAGATTACAAATTGGTTACGAGGGGCTGAGGAGCTGTTAGACAGAGATAATGGACAAATTGAATTAGAAAATGAAACAGCTAGCAGCATTACAAGAAAGTGTGAAGAATTCAGAGTGAGAAATAAACTTGATATTTATTATTAATATTGGTGTTGTTGTCATTGCCATTGTTAGCATTGCTCTTGTTTTTTTCCACATTATTATAAAGAATAAAATTATGTTTCAGTTTTTTCCAATACAAATTTGCTTAACATTATTTATATTCTCTATTTGGTGATAGTCTTTAATTGCTGATTTGTTTATTTTTTTAAATTACATATTTATATTTAATATAATGTACATGTTATATACAAATATTCATATGAAAAATCATTAAAAAAATATATATAAATTATGGTGTTTTTATTTAAGAGTAATATGCATCTCTTTATTGGAAAAGAAAATATTTTCTCATTTTAATTTACAAATTTTGATATGGAATTTTAAACTTTATTATCAGATTTTATGGTATATGTTTAGAATCTATAAATGCTATTGGTATGCTGGAGATGAATATGAAATATATTAGATTCCGTAACATTTTTTTTTCTTTTTTACAATACTCCTAAATGCTATTTCACCTTTATTTTTTCACAGGTATTTTTTCAGAGTTTAGATCGAGTTAGGCATACATTCCAACAAATACAGTCCACTGGTGTCAGTGACGGAAGAAACATTGCAAAACCGATTCTTACAAGTATTTCAGAACGTCTGGAGGAGGTCGTAGTTTGTTGGCGTCACACACAGATTAAGTTAAACTATTTGGAATGTAAATACAATCTGCTTGCACTGATCGTAAAAACTGAAGAAAAATTCTCGTTTTGGAATGTCAAGTACGGAAGCCAAGAAGAAGTTAAAGCTATTTTGCAAGATTACAGTGTAAGATACAACATAGAATTTATAAATTTTAAATAATTTAATTTGTTATTGTTGGCTTAGTATCAAAGAAAATTCATCTAAAATATAGAATTTATAGTTTTTAAATATTGACTTGTAAGAACATTAAAAAAATTGGTCATCCCAGTGCACTATATGAAGCAAACTCATTAGCAATCTAGATTTCTGATTTCATTCAGATATTAGTAATGTTGTTATTTATAATTTCATTATATATATTTCTGCTTTTATTAATATCCCATTTTCACCAAAATAAAGATTAATAGATGTTTAATTTTGGTGGATGAATTTTTACATTCTTTTTTTCTTTCTTTTTTAAAACAGAAATTTATCGAAGAAAATCAGTGGTTTGACCAGTATGAGGCAGGATTAAAAGCCCTAGAAAAGGAGACAGAAAACTACAAAGCCGTTATTGACAGTGAGTTTAGCATAGAAACATATTTTGATTTGTATTTATTTGTTGGAATGGCAATTAAAAATGTAATAATGCGATTTTAATTGTCAATCTAATACAAATAATGTTTCAGTCTTTCTGTTAATCTGTCTATACATCTGTCTCTTTAGATATTGATTTATGTATCTGTTTATGTACCTGAGACTATGATATCACCATATATAATAATAATGTATTATATTTATATGGCATGTTAACAAAGCCTCTGTTAAGCCTGATATGTATTTCTTAAAATGTATAAAATTTATTATTATTAATCAAGTTTGCTTTATTCATCCAATACTGGAAATTATATATATTAAGGTCAATAGATAATTAATAAAAAAAAAAAATAATACATAATTAATGTTTATTTGTAGGCTGATTTACTCCAAACCAATTTTCCATTTATGTAAATTTTAAACATATCTTTAAAAATTACTTATCCTAGGGAAGTCATAAAAAAAAAAATATATCTATATGTGTATAATACTATAAACACAATTTTTAATTTTCCGACCATTTACTTATTTGGTAATGATTTATATTTGTATATCTTCAGAGGATGAAAAGCAGGTCGTCACTAATTTTCTACTAAACATGCAAAAGAAGCGCACAAATCTGACGGTGGAAATACGGAGTGTTGAGACCATGTTGGAGGAGGTGATTGAAAATTGGAAGAAATATGATGCGTGCAGTGAACTGGTTGAAACGTGGCTTAGTGATTCCTCAGCTGCTTTGCAGAACCCAAACTCGGAAGCTAAACTAGTAAGCGTATTCATATAACTCATTGAATCACCACCACCATTATTATTAGGTAGCACCATTTCATCATCACCACTGCCACTGACACATCCAACTCTGCTGCTGATGCCATAATCATTATCTTTACTTATATGTTCATCATCATCACTACATTCATCAACACCATCATCATATTCATTTTCATACCTTATTATACATCATTAGGTGTACATGGCCCTTAGATTTTTTTGCAGTATGTAATTACAGTTATAAGCCTTGTTCCGACAGTGTAAGTCGCACTGGTGATATCGTAGTTATCGAACAAACGCTTGTTATGAGGCTCACACCGACCGTATGAACGGGGTAACCTGATAGAATACAAGCACTTCACCCTGCAAGCTAACACCGACAAATGACCGATTGGCAAGGCTTGACCACGGTCTCGTTTTCGAGGCAATTCTACTAGACCTACAGTAGTTGGTTCATAATATCAACCAAAGCATCTTTAAAATTACCTTTTTTGGTTGTTTATACCTTCAGAATTTTCAAAAGTAATCCAAATAAAACATTACAGGACAAATAGTATTACCGTTTGTTGTAAACTTCATATAAATTTTCATGTCATTTTTTGGGAAATCCGCAAAATACCTTGGTAGTTCGTTCGCTGTATCTAAGGATACAGCTGAACTAGATACAGTGAACTCCTGTGAGATACTGTACGTACATGATTTTGAAATTACAGCTAATATGGTAGCCTTATCTTTAGCCACTGCAATTCCCACATTTTAGCAAAGAACCACAAACGTTCATACTTGCATGCTACATTTGGAGGCTCGGGTTATAAATGCTGCCTGAAAATCTCATAAATGTTAATAGGTAGGCTTAGGGTGGGTGAGAAAAATTTTATTTCGCTTTTTCCGAATGCTCTACTAAGTGAAGATGAAAAAATTGGATGTTCAAAAAAACACAGAATGAAAAAAATCAAATAATCATTGTGTAATGAAGATGTGTTGATAAAATGATGAGGATTTGCTTGCATAATGTTGTTTTTATGCAAATTAATTGTTTTATATTAATATAAATGATTGCTGTTATTGACAAGGCAAGTTTACATTTAAAGTTTTTGTATTACTTTCTTTAATTTTGTGTTAAATCATTCAGTAAATTAATAATTTTTTTCTTTTGCAGGAATTAAAATTGCAGTGCACAAGTCAAGAGAAGAACTTTCAGAAACTGTCTGACATTTCAAAGGGGCTACTCAAGAGCTGCACCCAAGACAGGGTCACTGCCATGCTGGAGACCCTGAAGCAGATCAAAGCTAGGCTGACAAAGATCCAGGAAAAGACAAATGAAGGGCATGCCATCACCAGCAAGGTTTTAGCATCCCTCCAACAATATGAAAAAGGCATGAAAGACCTTGTGAGGTGGATTGAAGAAGGTGAAGCTTTGATGAAGCAGGGGCATATTAGTGGGAAAAAAGAGGATGTACAACAGAAAGTTCAGGTTTGTGAATTCTAGATTATTGATAATTATATAATTTTTATAAGTTCACTTTTTAGAAATATGTTGAAGCATATCAGATCTGAAAAATTGTATTGGTTTATACAATTAATGTGAGAATTCTAAAATATACCTGATACTGAATAGGCCTACCTAAATGTTGAATCATAAACAGGGAAATAGTATAAAGAATTTCATAGAAATACAATAATTTTAGGAAAGTTTATTTTTGTATACCCAAAATTTAAACTGTATTATTTGAAAAAAATCCAGAGAAAAAATTGTTTATAGAATGTTGTACAACTGATTTTCTATGACAAAAAAGGTGTTTGACAAAAAACTTGGAATGGTTAATAAGATACAGATTTTTTATATTTAAAATTTAAATATGCCCCTTTACCCCTGGTTTTAAATATTCAAAAATATGTATCGTATTAACCGTTCACAAGGGGTTTTTTTAATCATCACTTTTGTGTCTCAAAAATATCAGTTTCGGAACATATCAATTTTGTTTTGCTCCTGAGCCTAGCAACATATCTTCAATAACCATATTTATTTCCTCCTGTAGTCCTTCAGGGCTGCTTACAATATTAAGTATTAAAAGATGACATAATATTTAAATGTCAGAATGTTTATGTTTTTTTTTTTTATTAAGGCTCACTTCTCCAAGCTTCCCCACAATCAAAAAGTACTTGAGGAGAAGAATAAGATAGTTCAGGAAACAATACAACTTAATATTGACTACATGGATGCCAGTCCACTAGAAAGCAATATCTCTGAGTTGAACAGACGTTTTCAAGTGAGTAATTGAGATAGGGTGATTTATTGAATTTTTATTCAATAAAAGTAAATTATTTATTTATTTTTATTTATTCATGTATAAGAAACATAAATTTACAACAAGCAGCTATACAGCTGAAATTGTTGTAATTACAAAAGTCAAAAAGTAAAGCAACATCGGTTGTAGGTGGAATTATACCCATTAATGTCTGATTGTGTTATTATTTTTTAAAAAGTATTAAAGATACTGAAAATGAATCTATGTGTATGAAAAAGTTGAAAATAATTTGTATTAGGCCACTTCTTGTACTTCTTACTTGTTCCTTTTTTAGCACATGTCATTTTAGTCACATTATGCTAAGTATTATGTTATATATTATTTGAGGAAAAATAAATTAACCGAACATTCAGTAGTGTACCATTAAAAAGATGTTTCAATAATTACTTTACTAAATTTGTGAAATGAAAAGTGTGTGTTACTTAGTTGTAATGTTAGCCATCCTCTCTATTCAGTCTATCAGGTCACCATGGACTGACCATATCAGTTGACATAAAAACTGCATATAATATTCTAGTGAGACTAGCAAATTCTGTGCTCTATACTTTTTTATATTATTTATTTACTTGTGTACTATTTATTGTGTTATAGTTGATATTCTTACTCATTTTTCAGATATTAAGCCAGAGTGCCCCCAAAATGATGGACAAGCTCTCCAGTGAGGTTAGCTCTATGCAAAACTTTAAAGAAAAGGCTTCAGACCTAACAAATTGGCTGAGGGAAGCTGAACAGAGACTGGATGAGCAATCTGACGATCCTATCGAAGCCATTAAAGGTCATAAGGTCAGAATAAGATACCTGATTTTTTTAAAAATCATAATTTTAAATGCATAACAAGATGCTATTGTTGTGAATGATTGTCGAAAAATATTTAATTATATATATTTTTTTGACAAGATGTGTTGTTGCCATTTATTCAGATGCAAACATAAAGCGTTGCTTATTTTTCATGCCTTTTCACAGCCCAATTTAAGACTGATTTTTGATGGTGAGATTATGAATATAGGTTTGATATAAATTAATGAGAAAAAAAACTGCCTTCAATGATTTTTTGAAATGTTCAAGTATAAAATTTTTATTTTGTATATTTCAGGAATTATTTGGTGACCATTCAAATAGATTGCAAGAGTTTGTAGCAGCCAGTGAAGAACTTTTACAGTCGATACCTGAGAAGGACAGGAAACCACTGCAACAGAAGATCAAGCTTTTGCAAAACAAGTACAAGGTATGAAAGTTCATAGGTTTGGTTCCTCTGCCATTCAGTGATAACACAGTATAATCTATATTCTGCTTTATTTTTGCCTGCCTTTAAGATTCTACAAACTGACCAGTACTTTTAAAATTGAATTTAGTTAATTATTTTCCATTTATATAATCTTTCTGTGAACAGGAGACAATAGACAAAGGTCCTATGAAGTTGTGCAAACTTGAGTTCCAGTTGGCAGAAAGTGAATTGAAACATAATGTAGATGATTCTAAGAATGAATTGGATTCTGAAACACTCGCTCTGAACTCCAAGCAAGAACCAGAACACATCTTAGGAATGCACAAGGTAAGTTGTTATGCATGACAAACATATGTAAAAAGCATGTAATTATGCATTGTAAATTTTTGAAATGTGTTTAGTCCATGCACTGAATGATGTTGGAGAGTGAAAATATATTTTGGGAATACTTAGATAAATCAATAAATTCCGAATTTCCTCAGGAAACTTTACCCCTTGAAGATAATGGGAAATAATGGAATCGCTCATCTTGCCGCATAAAATGCCCTGAATGCTTTTACAATACTCAAAAGAACAAATAAATAATACGGAAACTACAAATAGTCCAGGCAATCTGTGACAAAATTATAAGGAACCTAGAACAGAAATCATTTTTACGGAATTTGTTCCTGAATTGAAACAAACAGTAATTCCGAAAAGCGACAGAGACATTTTGAGATTCAAACGTTTTGATCTATTTGATCATTATCAAGAATGCTCATAAGAAAATCTGACCCATCCATATATAATGGATGAAAATGGACCCATCCAAATATATTTACAATATTTACAGAAGTGTAACAGAAAGTAAATAAAAACCGGCTAATCAGATTAATAAATGAAAATTAAAACTGGCCAATCAAAATGTGGTAATTAAAAATGAGGTGTGTCTTATATTGAGTAGATCACTTATATCCTTGAATAACAATGAATAAACAACAATTGTGTAGAAGCCTGGGAATGCCAGCCGAATGAAAGTCTCATGAAGGAAATGTTTATTTCAACCTTCATTACTTCGACATGCAAACCTTCAAACAATACTTCAAACTTTATTGGTTAAATAGGATACTCTGCAAAGCCACACCCCTTAGATATTTTTTGCTTAGATCCCACAAAAACATGTGAGTTTGCGGGACAAGCTTGTATTCATGGCCCTGTTATGGTCAGATGTTCAGTTGGAAAGGTCCATTAATATTAGGACTAAGTGATTATATACTTTATAATCATTGCTCACATTTTTCAGGAGTTTTTCCATGAGAGTAAGCTGATCCCATACAGCCTAGATTGTCTGCAAGAGATGGAAAGTTGTGTAAACAAGATGGCTACTCTTGATCCTCAAGACAAATCCTTGGCAGAAGCATTGAATAAGTCACAGTTGGAATGGCAACAAACATTTGATGACATTCAAGTAATGCAATGTAAACTTGTTGAACTACTTGAGAAATGGAAGGAATATAACGATAGGTTAGTTCTGATTAGCTAGTTCTTATGCTTACATTAAAACCCCATTGACCATTATAGCATGGTTTCTATTTGGCTATGGTTTCTGATTGGCTAATGTGAATTGATGAATGCTTACAATTGATTTACATTATTTTGTGTAATCTATTGAGGAGTTAATTTTGAAATACAAAATTTTGCAACATATTTTAATCTCAAGAAGAATTATGCATTTTTTGGAAAACAGCCATGACTACCATTTTTTGAATATTAACCCAATTATTGATTTATTTTTTTCTTAAGCCTAAATGCTGTTAAAGAATGGACAGACATGACAAATAGAACAGCAGATGAACTTCTAAAAACATCTGATCCTCGAAGGTTTGAAGAACTTCAGAGAGAATTAGAGGAACTTCAAAATAATGCACCAGAAATATCCCAAAAGTTTCATCAAGCACAAGAAACAATTGGGGATCTTGCTGCAGACAGCACAACAGGAACAGCACAATCCCAACAGCAAATTCTTGGACAACTTGCCAAAAATCAGCAGCAGCTGCAATCCAAACTAAGTGATATCCCTACTGAGGTTGCCAGGAAGTCAAAGAAATTTGAACAACAGGCAAAAGCAAAGAATGCATGGAACTGGTTGCAGGAAAAACAAAAAGACTTATCTGAGAAACCATCTTGGGGAGATTTACCTGTTCTTAAGGAATTGTTAGCCAAACAGCAGGTAAATATATTCAATAAAATATCTAAATTATTTAAATTTATACTTCCTTACATACTTTCGATGATTGCACATATGTTAGGAGCATGGCGGCTGTAATGATCTGTCTCCATCCTGGCCTGTCATTGGTGTAGTTATATTCGCTGTTTGTGAACAATTCAAAATATTTACATACATTATGGAATATGTACTGACCTCCATACATGCATCAAGCTAAATGTTCTGCCTCTTTTATGGATCCAGATAAATGTGCTGCCCCCTTTATGGATTGGGCTAAATATGTACTGCCCTCTATATAGATTATGATAAAAATGTGTTCCCCACTATATGGATCAACTAAATTATATTGTGATGAAATATGTTCAATTGAAATTAATTTTTTTATGCAAGCCATCAAAGTCTAGAATCTGCATCAACATAACAGTGATATTATAGAAACAATAATTTAATAAGATACATGTGTAAGGACTATGCATTCATGTCTGGTCATCCAAAATACGTAGTCATTGATGCCAACATATGCCTGATGCCTGGTTGCTATCCTTTATTATTCAAATGTATTCATATTTATGACTTTTTGTAGTCTTTGCACCATGACTTGGAAGAAGCAGTGCCAATAATTGAAGAAGAAGTGGTGAGAGCAAGTCAAGAGCAAAGTCTTGAATCTGTTCTCCCTGAACAGGAATCAGTAACAAAAACACTTCAAGCAACAAAACAAAAGTCAGCCAATCAGCTCAAAGATCTTCAAGTATGTTGATGTTTTACACTTCCAACCAATCAAAAAAAAATTATTCTAATGATCAAATTAATATTCTATATGTCTATCTGTTTCGCTATGTGCAGTACTCAATAAATTCAGACAACAAACTCGAATTGCCTTTAGTCTACACCTTTACTTCTCAAGCAAACCTCAGCTTGGTATAGTCAGTAAGTTTGAAAATCTACAAAACAACAAACAATTACCATATTTACATTTTCTTCTGCATCAAAATTACATGCTATGTGTAACAGTATAACAGGTTATAAATACCACATACACTATTAATCTCTTTATATAACCTGTTAACCGCAATGGTTAAATTTGTGTGATTATATCGTACATAACAAACCCTATGAATCTACCTATATAAGAAACACCGCTCACAACTCTCAATAATGAGGGCGCTACATAGCGACTCGCTTCTGATACACACATGCACGACGGCCGTGTACCACAATCTAGGTTTACAAAATCTAGGCTATCAATGGAGCATTTCTTTATAGGTTAATCAATAGTCACTAATAAGGTAAAGGTAACGGTAAGATTCATTCATTTATAATCATAATATAGCTATCAGTCGCTTGGTTATCATTTTATTATTCACATAACAATGTAAAACTATGACAGTTCGTTTGAGCCAACTCAAACAACACGCTAAATGTTAACTGACGCTCAACATGGCGCCTGGTACGGTCAAACTTTTTGCTTCCAAAACTCTAGTGATTCATGATAACTTTAATGTCTCTTAAATTAACTGAATGGCAAAAGCGAAGTGCAAGCTCTTCATGGCTTGTACATAGTAAACAACCTTTCACATAACAAGAGGTGGCACCCTTCAATTTCGGCATACAGAAACACTATTTTCAAACACATTTATAATATATTTTAATTAGATTTTATCATTTGTATATTTCAGTAACCCAGTATATATGGCCGTCCCCTAGCAAAACAATGTATTATGTTGTTTTGCCTTGAAATGACTGTATAACACGTGGATCCATGTTTTGACTGTGTGATGTATTGCAGATAATACTGCAACCATTCATTTACATATTTTTATTTTTTTCCAGGATGCAGTTGAATTGTGGGAAAATTATGAAAAAGAGAAGTCTGCATTGTTGGCATCAATTGATGAGGTTGATGATGCAATTGAGTCTTCATTTTCACCTGAGCTTTCTACCTTGGATGATATCAAAACTGCTTGTTCACTGTTACAGGTTAGTGTATTCATATATCATTTAACTGTTAACTCAGTATACCGATAAATGCCAATTTTTTTCTTGAAGCTTAACTTCAAACCAGCATCCAACATTTGTCTTGTGTGAATAAGGTGTCATTACTTTGGTAAAAAACGTCATAAAAAGTAAGTGATGTATATTAGATATATTTATAAATGCAAATTTTTTGTTTTTAATGAAAATAATTACGTAATGTGTATTCATTATATACACTGTGCTAGATGATGATTCCATTTATTTTTCGGAGGTACAGTAAGTTCTGCTAAAGGACACATGTCATTTCATTCAGGTTGATCTCATGGACTATCAACGTCACTCTTGATTTGTGTATTTTAACTATTTTCATTATTACAGAGGTTAATTCAAATTCACAAAGATTTGGATAGCAAAGAATCAGAGGTAAAATCTATGAATAAAGAGTTACAGAAATCAGCCCCGCTTGCTACTAAGTCATCACTAGAGGGTGACATTCGCTCCATTGATGAGAAAAATACTTCTACAAGGGGTAAGCTCAACAAAAAATTGCAGGAACTGGAGAATTTGGATAAGAAGTGGTCTGAGTATTTAGGGAAGAAGGATGAATTAGTTGAATGGCAGACCAAGGTTGAGAAGCAAATGGATGAGATCACAAGAGATGAATCCACTCCTGATAAAGTCTATGATGCTGCCAGAGTAAGACATTTTATACAATTTATTGTAACTCTGAAACATGTGCTACTTGAAACAGATGCATACAATACAACACAATGATACTATATAACTTTATTTATCATTATACAGATCATAAAGAGAAGTTTGGGTTAGCTCTGTGTAAAGCCAAACTGCAAAAAAATATTTAAAAAATATTAAAACACTCTTTATGGTTGATTTGTAAAAGCGACACATCACAGGAGAACAGAAATATGTTGTGCCTTTATAACAAGAGATTGATTGTGCCATTTCAAATAGTTTGATACCTCGATTCATAAAAATTAAAAAATATCGACTATCTCTACAGCAGAATCATTGATGAATGATGGTGATTTGTCATGGGAGACTAAAGGATATAATGCCATCTAAAATGATTGAGGAATAAAGCAAAAATCTTAACCTTTGACTTGCTTGTTTGATAAAAACCTCATAAGTTATCAGATTGAGATATATATATATAATGTTTCAATGTGTGTAAACTTGCTGGAATTTGTCTTTATTACTACATTGTGTATTAGATTGATCATAAAAATTTAAAATACTTAAAATACTTAAAAAATAAAAATTTAAAATACTTAGAAATAAAATGTGTTTAATATGCTGACCGTCAGACCTATTTTTAAGGTTCTTTCTCGTGTGCCAAGCACGTTTACATGTACAAACATACTTTTTTGAGATTTTATCTAGTCATATAATATCAAAATATATATCAAAATAATGTGTCTAATAATTTGGCGGGAAAATATTAGGGGATGAGTCAACTGGTCAGCGGCACTGTGACAGCTCTTTTTATTGACTATGCCAGGTGCGGGTTTCCTTGTCCGCTTTTTGCATGGGTTGGTATATGTTCAAAGGGCGTCCCAACTTGTGCTGCTCGAGTGTACTGCCGGCAACAAACACAATCAGCATACATATGTCATTTGTACGTTATCGTCTAGGTGTATCTTCCCCAAACTACCAGCCGTTAAGTCTGTGGTTCTACAATGTATAACAATGAAGTAATAAATGCTAGAATATTACCCCAATTTTTACGAGTATATTCGTCCCTAGCATCCTTAGCAACAACCTGTGGGACCAGTATACTCATCGCTGGCAGCCAACGTGTTAATCATATTTGTGGTTTTAATCAGCTTCTCTTGAATACTTTTAGGTGGTATTTTCCGAGATTTTTGATAAATACAATGCCTTTGAGGAGCTGGATGCCTTACTTGATGAATTACTGAAAGATCCAAACAAACCAGATGTGCAGCTGCTAAAAGAAGGTCTCGATGCAGCTCAGCAAGACTGGCAAAGGTTATGCGCAGCTGCAAAGGCTCTCGGTGATAGTCTTGATGCAAAAGTTAAACATTGGCAGGCATATCAAAATGCAAAGCAACAACTTCTACCTTGGATTAAATTCACCAACAAAAAACTGGATGCAGAGCCAACTGTTGACTCACTTAAAGATGCTGAAAAAAGAGTTGCAAATTTTGATGTAAGTAAGCTATATCAATGATTTCCTTTTCAGTTAAACATACAGCCACAACTTAATTATTTAAGCTTTTTTTAATATCTCTAATATTGAGTTTTTAGTTTGTGTATTCAATTTGTGTAACAAATGTGCTTTAGTATCATTTAACATGTGTGCAGAAAATACATAGTTTTCACCTTTACATTTGAATTGTTTACCACTTTTAATTTGTTTAATAATTGAGTGTATTGTAATTATATATTATATTTGTGTAATTTAATTTGTTTAATGCTGTTGAACATTTGTGTGGGGGAAAATGACCGTCTATTAACTGTTTTAAATGGTAATTGTTTAGCACTCTTTGTGGTTTTGCACATTTTTTCTATGTAGGTTATTTGCGAAGAAATTCCAGACAATCAAAGTCTACTTGACCAGGTGATTGAAGAAGCTGCTGCTTTACCTAAAGAACATACTGCAGGCCTATCCCAGCTGCTGCATGATTGGGAGACAGTAGTTGGCAGGGTGCAAGAGAAAAAGCTAGATGCCATTAAAGCAGCTGAGGCATGGCAAGAGTATGAGTCTGGGAGTAATGATATGCTAGAGCTCTTTGCTGAGGTTGAACAGTCTCTGGTGACACCCATCGAAGAGTCTGAAGGAACACCTGTCGATGCAGTAGATGGTGGAGAACCTAGTACACAGATATCTCAATTGCAGGTATGTTAAATTGATAGACTGCTTATACAAATTTAAACTTACTATGTGCTATGTCTGTTTGGGTGTGTGTATGAAGGTCAATCATCATGAAGATTGTTTTTACTAAGACTTAAGCATCATTTATTTATGGATTTGTTATTTGTGTTGTTCAGAAAATTTCAGAACGATGGGAAAGCAAGAAACCTTCTTTTGAAACTGTTCTTGATGCCAATCAGAAAATACTATTATTCAGTGCTCCTATGGTAAGCAAGAAAATTGCGGGAGATGGAATCCAGCTTAAAAGGAAGTGGGAGAAACTGGAAGGGTGTCTGGAGCAGTGTACAGACTTTGAAAGATCTTGTTTTGACTTTGAGAAGTGGTTGCAAGACATGGAGAGTGCACTTGACAATGAGAAATCATCTCTGGATAATCTGAAGGAGAAGGAAGATAGACTGCAAAAATTACAGGTACTGTGTTGGTGCTACGAATGTCTATGCTTAGTTAATAGAGGGCGCTAGATCATGTCATTCACAATATTCTTGTTGCTTCTTTATTAATTCCTTTAACATGTTCTTTATACCTATTGTGGATATATCACTGAGGATTTGTTTCTTATTTGTATTATACTCGCGTTGTTATTATCACAATTTATGGATAGTTATATTATTTACCATGGATGCAATATTATTTTATACCATATTCTATTATATTTAATTATTATTATGCTCTTATTATATCGTTATCTGATGAATGATTTTACTTTTGTGGAATGGATTTTCTTCTTTTCCATAGTTTATTTTGCCTTTGTTAGGTATAGATTACAGTACTTTTATTTTATTAATTTGTTGACTTTGGCATACAGTACTGTTTAATAATTATATTTTGTATCTATTTTATTTAATTTCTGCATTTAACTTTTGCTTTTTATGATGTACCTTTATGTGTAATTTGTTAATTGTAAATAAGGTATCTCACGGCCATAATGAAAAACAGCATTGTATTTGTTGATTTGTGTTTTGTGAATAAATAAAGTTTTACTACTACTCTTTGTTTATCCCAGGCTTGTTTCAGCCAGCCATTCTGTTTATATTTTGTTTATTGTTCATTTACATAAATTGAATGAACAGTTTGATCCTGTCTTTTTTACTTCATTCGAATGATGAATCTAGCTCCAGCTAGCAAAAGCTTGTGTTTCAATAAATTTTGTTAGTACTACTAACGAAACTACTGTTCTTATTTCATTTGTTTATTAATAGGATCTGCAGAAGTCTGTCACAACCTTTGAACCTTTTGTACAAAGTATTCAAGTTAAAGCTGAGATGGTTACAAACAGTTGCTCATACGCTGGTGCTAGACCCAAGAAAACTAAACTTATCCAGAGGTTTAACTCAATCACAACACAGCTTAAGGTAGTTTTTTCACTAACATTTTATTAGAAGATTTGAAGATTTTTAATAGCATACTGGATGGGTCAGATCTTTACTATAAAATGTCTAAGTTTGTATGCAGCCCTCAATGTAAAATTAAATTCTCTTTGGCCTGCTGAGCCATTTTTATGCTTATCCCAGCAAAAACAAATTAGAGAATTTCCTCCTTCATTGTACAATGTATGGTTCATATAAATTTAATTTTTGTCATAGGAGTGTCATGATTCTACTCAGAGTGATGTTAATGATCATCAGGATTTTGATAACAGTGTTCAGTCCTTTCAAGACATTCTTGAGAAAATCAAGGGAATTTATGAAAACAATTGTAGTCCTACCGGTGATGTGAAGGAATGCCGGAATAAGTTACAAGCCATTCAAGTAAGACACTTACATAAATTTGATGAAGTTAAGTGAATAAAATTAAAATACAAACTTATAGGACTCTTGTATAAAATGCACAGAACCTTATTAAGTTTTTATTTTATTCTAGTATGTAAATAATATTTAATAATTAATTTCGTACATACAAAAGCATAACTTTACTCTGTTTATACTATAATTTTATTTTATTCATCTCTCGGCCACACTCTCTAAAACTTTGTTTTTGTATGTTTTGACATGTGAACACCAGCCTCTCAATGAGAGTTTAATGATCATAATGTAGCGCTAATACACATTTCTATATACCTATTACTTCTTCAGCATTTATTTCACCATAATAACATAATTAATCATACACATAATTAATTTGCCAATGAAAAATAGTAAAGCATTTGAATGAGAAATATAAAAATTAAAGTCAAACAAATTTGTTAAGAACAAAATAATAGTTATTAAAATTATGGTTTTATATCAGGTCAAGCATCAACTTGTCTCAACCTGACCCCCAAAAAAAAAGAAAAAAAAACAAACATTATTTTAATTGTTTTACACATGAATATTTATTAGCTTTCTTGGCTTATCTACCCAGCCTAGATTGTTTAGACACTGTTTATGCATATACCGTATTTATTCAAATATATTCCCCGCTTTGAATAAATGTCCCCCCCCCCCCCCCCCTCAAAAACAAACGCCTACTTCTAGAGCCTCAAAGATGACATTAGTCTATTTCGTGAATACTTACCTGGATGAACCGACTAATTGCCATTGTTCCCGAAACGGAATACCCCTTAGAAAGAAAATAGAAGAGTCTGACCTAGGGTGCCACGTAAATAGACATAATGACATTAAACAAATCTAATGGAAGCGACATCATTCTGAACACATTCTATTAATGTTCTACTCCAGTAGAATTAAATTTTTTCTAGTTGGAATCAATAAGTTTTTATGACAACGTAATAACACATTTTCACAGTTATTATGTAGTTGCATATTTACAGTGACATTAAGGGGGGGTTTATTTGAGTATATTATATGTATGCATTTTACGCAACAAAAAAGTAAACGCCTCTCTCGAATAAACGCATGCCCTTCAATAAACGCCTCCTTCGAATAAGTGCACCTCAAAAACCCCGCAACAATAAATGCCCAGGGGCGTTTATTTGAATAAATTTATTTAACCTGAGGGAATGAATGCTACAATTCTCCATGTATTATTAATTGCAGAATTGCTTAGCACAAAAAAATAGCATACAAGACCAAGTTAGTGATGTAATTGACAAACTTCAGAAAGTTCTACCACACACCAGTCCAAATGGGAGAGGAGTATTACAACAGCAAGTACACACCCCTAAAAGAGAATGGGAGAGTTGTATTGGCAAGTTACTAGAGGCAGAAACCATATTAAAAGATAGTGTACAAAGATGGTGTGAGTTTGAGAAAAAGTTGGGTTCCCAAAAAACAGTGATGAAAGAAATTGAATTTAAACTTGACGATTTTTGTAAGTTGAAGTGTACTCTCCAAGAAAAGGAAGAACAAGTCAAAGCATTGAAGGTATGTTTATATGTCTCTCTGGATTTCTACAGGAAATAAGTTTTTTTATTTTAAAAATATCTTTGATTTGCTATATTATAAGTCTGATGATGATATTTGAGGATGATTTTAGTTATTGGTAATCTTCAAAAAATTATATCAAGATTTTTCCCTTTTTTTTATTACAGTTTTGTAATATTATGGATTAACAAGCATGTGGGCTACAGAAATTTCAATGGCTTTTGTTGTTAATCCTTTCCTACTTAGATTTACACATTTCTGTAATTTCAGCTTTGGTATTTTTTTGTTTTTGATGTAAGAATTGTGTTAATACGACTTTCTGAAAGGCTAAAAAAGAAATGAATTAATGAATATTATTTAAGCTTGTTCTGTTTCAGATAATCCAATTATTAAAATGTATTATGACTTAAACAAATTAATAATAATAGTAATAGTGTAGTAGTGTAGTTTTATATAGCGCCATATCCATCTAACATAAGATGCTCAGGGCACTTGATATGTGGACTAGGAACTTGATCAATGACTTTCTTTACCCCTAAGGGTCCCTTCGTGTCTGTGCTACAGTACCCGGTAACCCATTACTGGCAACTCTCGTCATCCACCACAGGGGCTCTCTGTTCTAATACACTGGGGTATCTCCCTACTCGTCTCGAAGGATGCACTGGGTTCTTTATAGTGCACACAAGCCATTATATACACTAATAAATTATGTTATTTATATTTGATTTGATACTATATCAAAATAAATTTTTTAAACTTTAATAATACTTTATCATTTATATGGTAATGGCGAAATACAGTACTTGTAAAGCGCATAATAAAATTTATCATCTCTATGTGCAGAAACCACAACCAAGTATGTAAAATATCAATGTTGTTGCTGTAATATTTGAATTATGAATACAAGAACTGCAGTGCATACTAATGATTGTTCATTGGCTTTTCAAATGTTGTGGCCATGTTGAATTTCTAATGTTGCATAATTATCAATGTGTAAGGCAATTGATTTATGTAAATGTGATGTGTCCACCTGTTATTGCCAGGCTGTGTCCAGTGACATTGAAGACCATGCACAGATGATATCTGACCTTAAAGAACTTGGTGAGGTCATTAATATTGATAATGAACCAGTGGTGATGAATAATGTTTCATCAGAACTCCAAATGCTTCAAGAAGAATATGATGACTTGAAAAGCAAAGTTAAGGTAATATAATTGTTGTTAAAATATATAATTATGGTGTTTATATAGGTTGTATAGGTTAGCATTGGCTGGATCCATAGTTGACACTATTATCCATTATCTGTTTGCTATATTATATGTACCATTCTGATGGTGATAACATGTGAAACTCCTGTAGTCTATTTCGTGAATACTTACCTGAATAAACCAACTAATTGCCATAATTATTCCTTTAAAAACATTCCTACAACAGTAGTCATTATGATGAGTCATTATTGAACTAAATTGTATTATTAAATAAATAAATATATTTGAAATAATCTAATAATCTGAACACAAGGTTGTAAAATCTACAGTTTTGAGCAGTTAAGAATAGGAAAGTATATTAAATATATAGCCCACTATAGAAATATTGAATATTATATGATTGAAGCAACTTATTAGGATTAAACTAGTGACTTTCATATTGTCATTTTAGAGTCTTTTGAATGATGGAACAAAGAACTTAAAAATTCATGAACATTATGAGGACACATTTAGAAGGATTTGCAATCTTGTTGATGAACTGAATGAAGCTTTTGCAGATTACAAAGATCTTAATGGTGACAAGGAAACAATTCAACATAAATTAAACAAAATTCAGGTGATTTTTATCAGTTTATTTTACGATTTCTTATTTTAGGGTATGTACGGATATGGACAAAAATCATGTTAAGATATGTATGGGCAACACTCTGCATTGCAGAAAAATTATATGAAATAAAATACACTGTTAGCACATTTTATTCTACTTCAATTTCACCAGCAGTCTATACTGGCTTTGTTATACAAAGCTGTAGATACTGTGAATGTTTATATATATTTTAATCTATTAGGATTTACTGAAAGAAAAAACTAAAATGGACCCACTGTTAGATGAGCTACAAGAGGCCAGTGAGTCTACAATTATCAGCACCGCTAGCCAAGCAAGGCCAGCCATACAAGAAGACACTACTGGTGCTGTGGAAGATTGCCAGAGCCTTCAGGCCCAGCTGATGGAGGCTGAACAAGTATTTGAGGAGCACATTTCAGCCTGGGTAGATTATGAAAAGGTGCTTGATACCTTAACACAATGGATTGCAGAGGCTACTGCTGATCTAGAGGCTATAGTTCAACCACAAGGTGACCTGAAGGAGAAAGAAGCAACATATGAAAAATGCAAGGTATTGAAATATGCATATTTTTCTTTATAACACACATAGTAACTCTGAAATGCATTCACATTATTAAGGTATATACTTTTATTGTAAATGCAACATTTATTTTGTTAGTTGTTAGAAGAAACTATTGCTGACAAAGGCCAACATGTGGAACAGTGTTGTCAACTTGGTGAAGTTGTTGTGAAAGCAAACTCTGGAAGCATTGATGTGCCAAGTCAAGTTGAAGAGCTGAAAACCAATTATGAGACCCTACTTAACAAGTCCAAGGTGTGTATTTAATAGTAGAATTCTGTTTTTAGTAGTGACCTTTAAAAATGTGGTTTGGTGCAGCAGGAATGCTTTGGTTTCTCGAGGTCGAGGTCGGGGTTTTAGTCTCTCACTGTGCATTCGCTTGTGTCCTTGAGCGAGGCTTCTCTCCTCCCAGGACTATGAGTGGGTACCTGAGGAGGTTTCAAGTGCAAAATGTACTGATAATATTTCATGCGGTAAACTATGGAATTTCCCCTATAGGCATCGTTCCAATGACTAGGGTAATAATGTAAAAAAACGCTTTGAGATAATACTCTAAATATATGGTTCAAATTTTAAAATTAGGGCTTGTCTATACTACCTTTTTTTACCTTCTATAACAAATTTATGTGATTTACTCTTATATGAGCATTATGATGTCATAAATCATACGTATATTTTGTCAATACTTACTGACTGGTTCACCTATCTATGCTATGCTATTTACTGTATGTTACACTAGAACATATTGCTAAACGTTTTTGTTTTATTAGTTTTTTTTTATGATATCAGTATTATAATACTTGTAATTAATTATATTACAATTATTATGATTGTTATTGTTATTTTCTCTTTGTTTTGATCTATCAACTTGTTAGGTTGTCCCTGCGTCGGCTAAATTGTGTTTCAATGTGCGTTTTTGGAAATGGAATAAAAGAAAACCAAAAAAAGTTTTTGTTCAGATGGTAGCCAAACAAATGAAAAATATCCCTGCACTACAATAGAGTTAGCTACAATAATGAATCACTTAAGCAAAACTAGCTACAGTAGTTCAAAGGGCAGATGTACAAAAGTCAAATGTAGGCAAAATTATAACACAATATACAGGAATATGTATATTGCTAAATCCCATTTGTGCACAAAAAAGTAATAGTGTGAACAGCGCTTCATATCATTTATCTCTTGCTACTATGTATTGTTTGTGTAGGTTGGTGTTCGACAACTGCAGGAGAACTTTGCCAACTTCCAGGTATTCTTGACATCCTCTGAGGAGTTTACACGATGGTTAGACAGAGCTAAAGAAGAACTAAGTGAGCACAGTAGCACAACTGGAGAGAACAGACTCATTGAAGGCAGGCTGGCGAAAATAAAAGTAAGATTCAGGTAGATTCAATAGCTAAAGATTGCTGCACACATTAGTGAACAGATGTGGAAATGGCAGTGAACAACTGTTTGTGATATCGCTTTTTACCTTCAGTTGTGCTGAAACATGGTGAGGTTTTTATCACATGAGACTGTGAATAGAATATCTTTTTGATATATTCTACTTTGCAAATCAAAACCTCAACATGTGCTGTGAAATTGCGCTACTAGATAAACAAAAATATAATTAAGCAATATGATCACTTCAAAACTGAAATCACACACCAGATTAAGCAACAGTGCAAACATTAATTATGAATCGATATTTGCAAATATGTTTTATATGCTTATGGGCAGAGGGTTTAACACACAGGTGGGCAAAATCTGGCCTGAGGTCATTTGCTTTTCTTGTTTTGGCCTGACATCGAAAATCTGTAAAAATATCATTAAAACATAATGAAGCGGAATAATAAAGCAGTATAAAAGCAGTGTAAGTTTGATAAGTTTGCTTGCAGCCCTCTGACCCCTTTTGATGCCCACCCCTGGTTTAACATTTCACAAGTGGTTATTTGTGACAGTTTGCAAGCTGTCCTGAATGTGGTGGCAGGCGTAAATTTAATGTTGGATCAATAGACATGACAATGTTCCTGAACACTTACAACAAAATTTGCTACATTTTTTTACAGTCATTGTTAGATGAGAGAGAGGAAGGACAAACTCTTCTCAATGTCACAGAGGGCAGGCTTCACACCATTTTGTCACAGACATCGCCAGATGGACGAAGCAGCTCAAAGCAGTCTGTTCAGACCCTGAAAGATAATTGGCAAGAATACCTCACTCAGCTAAGCCAGACACACAGCATCCTAGAGGGCTGTCTAATGAGCTGGAAGAACTATAAACAGTGCCTAGCTCAAGTTGAAGCTTGGCTTGATGAAATGAATGAAAAGCTTACTGAGGCTGAGAAAGACCAACAAAAGGTTGACTTGAATGCCAAAAGAGACTTCCTTGGAAAATGCAAAGTAAGTTTATGAGAGATTATAATTTTATATGATCAAATACAGTAGTTTCATCTGGTTTTGTGACGAAAGCTAGCTTACGTAAGTACATCAATAAAAAATGGTTTATTATAAATAAAAACAATTAATTGGATTATAATTTTATAATTTCTTTAGATAATTTATATATAACAATGTACAGTTCTTTGTTTTTCACACCAAGAATGAGGTGCCAGTTCTTTTAATTTCTGTAGATATATACTGTCAGAGAAGTTGTGTCCTGCGGGCCTGCCACTAAAGTGACAGGGGCCTTAAGTATTGTTTATTCTATTTCATGAATACTTACCTGGATTCTACCTAATTTATACCCTATCAACTGGCAAAGAAATAACGGATGATGGATTCTGTGATTTTTTTTTTGTGCTATTATTTAGTGAATATATTGTTTTTCAACATGTGTTTGTGTTGCAATTCCTCATCACCTTCCTTAATCAGCATTTCAAATTATCTTGTTAATTTTTTTTTGCACAGTTTTACTGTGGGTATCTAAAATGCACTAGTTGCAATGGGTAAAATAGGGATAGAATTCTATGTGCAGATACAGCATTTCAAAAAAGAGAGGGACAAGGTTTTAACAAAATATTCTTTTTTTGATTATAGGCTTTGCAAGAAGACATTTCATCTTTTATCAATGTAATTTCTTTAACTGAAAAAGCAGAGAAGCTTGAGCACTCAGGCAGTGGAGATAACATAACTGTTGAACTCAAAGAAGTATCCAACCGATATGAAGAAACAGTGACAAGAGCTCAGGTATCTCGCTCTTATTCCTTAAAAAAACTAGTTGAATTTATATGTTGAATAACAGAAAATTAAACAAATTTTCAAAATTTAAATAAAAATTTCTAGGAACTTGTGACAAGAGGTGAGGAAAATGTTGCCATTCATCAGTTGTTTTTGGATGCTTGCCAAGAATTCAGTGATTGGTTAAATGAAGTAAACCAGAAGTTGCAACACTGTGGAGTATGTACAGGATCTGCAGAGGTTAATGCAGACAACCTAGTATCAGTAAAGGTAAGCATTAATAATTGAAGAAGTAAATAATAATAGCAATAGTTTATTTATAGCCGCCTCTCAAACTCAAAAGATGAGGACAAGAACATAGGTGATGATGACAAGAACATAGGTGATGATGACAATAATCACTCAACAGCGTAATATCAGAAATTACATTAATGACAATAACTAAAACATCACCAAAACAACAATAACAACAATATATTGAAATTTTTAAGTCCTATATGGGGCATAATAACAAGAAGGCTTCTGTGTGATTCATAATTATATATTTCAAATTTGAATTTATCTTCAGGAGTTTTTTAATGATCATTTGTATTTTTTTTTTCTTATTTTTTTGTATTTTATCATAGGTGCTTATTTTCTGTTGAACTAAAATGTTATTATCTTACATCACAAACTAACCAGAAGATAATAATGTTCATGTTTTACAGGACACTATTGGAAGAAAACCAGAAGGTGAGGCTAAACTCGAAAAATTGAAGAAGCATGGAGAGGAAACTATGTCAGAAACAGCTGATGCAGGCAAACAGCTCATTCTTGAACAGATGCACACTGCTGAGAAAGAGCTTGAGACATTTGTCCAGTATTCCAATGAATCCCAGCACCAATTGAAGGATTGGATGGCACAGTGGGAGAAGTATAATGATGCTTTTGAAGCAATGTCAAGGTGGCTGGAGGATATGGATGATAGTCTGAAATGGGCTGGCATTTTACAGGATGCACTTGAAGGCAAAAGACAACAATTTGATAAATATCAGGTAAAGTGGCCTTCTTGTGTCTTCACACAATATCACTTTATTATCTAACATCTTTTGCTTGATTGTGTATGTTGATAATAATTGTACAACATGTGCTCTTAAATTTATAGGCTGTTGAAGATGAGATCATTGATCAAGAGAATGAATTCTCCCAGGTGGAAGCTGAAGCACAAACCCTTGTGCAACTCACAAACAGTACTTCTACGTTTATAACTGATGTTAGTCAACTACTAAAAAAATATGATGCTCTCCAAGAAAAAGTCAAAGTAGGAATAATATTGAATTATTGTCTATTTTGTGAATACTCTCCTAAGTGAACTATTACATGCAAGGTTTCTCATTTTGAAAAAAATTGAATTGTGAATAAATTTGGTTATCAAAACAATCTCGCATAAAAAAAGGAAAATGAAGCTGGTTTTATTTTAAAGCTCAATTGATATTCATGGATGATTATTTTTTAAGCATATTCCAAAAATGTGATAGTTCATCCAGATAAGTATTCTACTCAAACTACTAATACAGTATGTAATTAAAAAAAAGGGTGTAATTTGCCTTTTCTACTACACATTATGGCATTATAATGGATTATTTTTATTAATTATTTTATTATCAATAATTTTAGAAAGAACATGATCAAACTGCAGAATTTTAATAAATTTTATTGCAAATTTAGTAATAATTAATTCACATAGAATATGGTAATTTTACTAAATTATTTCATATTCATAGCTATGCCTGGATGAGTTAGAGGGTGCAGTTTCAGATCATCAAGTGTTTGAGGAGCACCTTCAGGATTACAGCGATTGGTTTCAAGATGCAGCATCAACTCTTGACAAGTGTGGCAATGTTAAAGGTCCAAAGGAAACAGTTCTCCAAAAAGCAGCCAAGATCAAGGTGAGAAATGATTCTCAAACCAATTATAATAATATTATGTTCTTAGAAGCAAAATTATGTTTATATACTTGAACCCAGAGTAAAGAGTAAATTCAAAAATTTGCCAATGATTTTATAAAGGCCCTTTGGCATCTGTTCAAGTTTCCGTTCATGTCCCAGCTCATGTTCAGGCAAAACAAAACGGATATTTGTTTCATCCATGCTCTGTTCCGGTATACGGCAACTGGCTATAGTTTCCGGCTACCGGATCAAATCGGTCTATGACCGATTTATTCCCACTTGATTGAATACCGGACGACTTCTGACCAATCAAAAGCCACAGTTTTGAACTGAGGCAAAGAGAGTGCAAAGGTGTCGGTGGAGGCAAGATCAGGTCTAGGTGATGATGCTATAGAAGAATTGCTAATGCAAATATAGTTAAATACAAAGTTCTAAAGATTACAGAGACAGCAAACAGTGGAGCATTGTATTTTTCGAAAAATGGGGCCAGGTTTGGCCTCACAGGTATGTGCCTAGAATAGCCCCCAAGGGACTTTGTACATGTCTAGGCCTAGTTGATAGACAATCAACCAGTCAACTGTATTTACGTGCGCGCCTGAGTAGATTTGAACAGTTTTTAAAAAACTAAAACATGAAAACAAAACTTGAGCTGGAACCTGAACTGGAACCTGAACAGATGTGAAAAGTGCTTAAGGCAGCATATGGTGCCAGCACCACCACTGCTGTACTGCTTGACCACACAACTCACTCAAGCTTATAGAACCCTGGTGCTCCTGAGACAGTCTCCCATCCACATATTAACCTAGCCCAATGTTGCTTAACTTTTCTGATGCACCTAAAACCTGTGCTTGTGGTATACATGTACTGTATAAAGAACGTGACAAGGTAAATAAAATTAAAAAGCATTTTCTTACTCCTTTAGACTTTATCAGAACAAAAAAATGATGGAGAAGAGAAACTGAATGAAATTATCATTCAGGCTGACAAAGTTCTAAGAAGAACATCAGCTGCAGGGAGAGACACCATCCAGCATGAGCTTGGAGAATTGCAGGTGGAGTGGGCAGGCTTGGTTGCTTCACTAACCCAAGCAAGTGACCTTCTTGATAGAGCTCTTAAGCTGTGGTCTAAACTCGACAGGGACTGCGATGATATGGAGGCCTGGATAAGAGAAATGGAACAGAAAATAAAAACAGCTCAAGATTTACAAAGCACTGTCAAAGATAAAATGAACAAGAGTAAATCTGTCACGGTAAGAAATAAAATAATTTAATTGCAATCATTTAAAATAATAGTAAGTTATTATAGTTGTGATAATAATATTGATACTCATAATAGAATAAAAGCAAAAAATAATGTATGTGATATTGAAATAATCTGATAATATTAATTATTAATTGATCAAATCCTACTTTATTATAGAAACTAATGGATGAAGTTGAGGCAGTCAAACCAGATATAAAACTATTGAGTGACCAACCAGTGCAATTTGAAAGCATAGGTGTTGATGACCCAGAGGTGAACAATAGAGTCAAAGAGCTCATTGAAGCATATCAGAAACTTTTTCAGTTGGCAGAGGTATGCATATTACATAAATGAAAAATATGATGTACAATTTTGTAAATTTATTATTTTTGTTGTGTAGATTTCAAGTCTTAAAATATCTTTATCTTGTTAATGTTAGTCTCATGGTATTAACAAATTTAAATCTATTCTGGAGCATTTTCTTCTTTTATTACTAGAGTACATCAAGAAAACTGCAAAGCTGTGTTAATGAACACATGAAATACGATGAAATGGTGCAAGATGCAACAAGCTGGATAAAGAAGACTAGGCAGCAGGCAACACTTTGCTCAACTGCTGCAGGTGATAAGAACACCAGTCACGAAAAATTAGATAAGATCCAGGTATGAATCTAAGCTTGACAATTTGGTCACAATTAATTTAGGAATAAGGTAGATATTTAAAAATTGTAAGCAAATTGGTGGACAGTTTTATTTGGAAGACAATGAACCCCTCTGGAGTTTCAATCAAACTTAACACTGACCAATCAGATTGTGTCATTGATAGCCAGGTATTATGTGCATGTCCAACAAACATGTAAGTTTATGTACATCTGTGCTGTTGTTTTGTGGAAGCTTTGCAACAATATCCTAAGGGATACTACTGGAATGATCCTAAGTTCTAAATTATAATTATTGTTATGTTATGTATTTAGAAGAGGCAAATTTAAATTACAGTTTTATTAGGATGCCTGATACTATCAAAATTAATAATTAACTTAACAATTTTTAAAATTCGAACCTGAATAACCCACCATTGCCAGTGTTTCAAAACACTCTTTAAAGTAATAGAGTCATCCTTCCAAATTTTTAATAGTAACTACTGTCTTAAATAAAGATTAACAAATTTGAGAGATGCTAGTAGCTTCATCTTTACATCTTACGACAGAGCCATTGGGGCTCTTCCAAACGAAGGAATAGGTTCTTTAAAATGCAGTTCTTAATCCGGAAGACTTGGCTTTACTATGAACTTTTTTTTTGTAGGAACTTCTTGATAGTCTATCAGATGGACAGAGTAAAATCCATCAGATTACAGAACAAGCTGAAGTGGTTCTACCAGAGACTGGGTTCACTGGTAAAGATCTCTTACTTCAAGAAGTACAGGCTATAACTAAAGAATTCGAAATTCTCAAACAAGACCTAGAAAAAATTAATGAAAGGATCCTTGACAGTGCTAACCAATGGAAGGAATTTGGTGAGGTATTCGCAGACTTCGAAAAATGGTTGGTAAAAGCTGATGAGACTATTCAGGATTTAATTAAACCACAAGATGATCTTGAAGGCAAGAAGAACAGTCAAGATAGAGTCCAGGTAAGATGTCATCTGAATTCAAAGATATTTTTCAAAAATTTGTAGCATTAAATTTTCTCCCAATGAACTGTAAAGTATAAGGTAAGTAGGTATATGGCAGATTTCAATCTTACCTTTTTAATGGCTACCAATGCTGCTACTGCTACTACTGCAACTAAATTTACATTTTTGTAAATTTTGTATTACTGTTATACTGTAATTATCATTATTATGTTGTATTATAACCCATTTTAATTTGATTGTTTTAACTATTATTTTTATTTTTTAGTAATTTTAATGCTGTCACTATTATAAGCCAATCACTTTGTTATCTTGTCTTTAGACACTGTCTGAAGATGTTGAGCATCACACCTCAGTGAAAGATGAGTTAGTAAAGAAGGCAGAAGGTCTGATAGAGAGCAATCCAGGAGCAGTTGCCATGGGTAGTGAAGCAATGAAGCTGGCCAACCAATTTCAATCACTCCAACTCAAACTAAAGGTCAAATATCAAAGTTCAAGTTTTAAGATAACATTACCTTTTTTGTTACTTACATTGTTATCTAAATTGTATTTTGAAGGTCTTTTTATTGCCATTTAACATTTAAAATAAAACCATTCATGCAACAAAAAAACTATGATAAAAAGGAACAATTAAAAAACCTAAACTTCTTAGCATTGGTAGAACAAGACCTAAAATTATTGCAACCAACAGTGGCATTCATCGTTTATGATGGAGATTGCTCCTTAAGATTCAATCTTTTTAGGTGATTAGGATCAGTGTGTGTTGTCTCATTAATCCGCGATCTGTCTTGACAGTTTCCCGATGACTAGAATTACTGTTTCCAAATTTTATTTATGATATATTTCCACAATTGATATTAAGATGTGGGTTTATTTTTTAATTGTAGGAAGCAAAGAGGAAGATTGAGAAGAATTTCACAGACCACAGACAGTATTCTATCAGTCTTGATGAGTTCTTATCATGGCATTCTCAAACAGCTCAGAAACTGCAAGAATGTAGTACATGCCAAGGTTCAAGAAATGAAGTTGTACAACGATTCCACATTGTACAGGTGGGCTATCTGATAAAATGTTAAGACAGGCAAACATGAAGTGTTTACTGGTGGTTTGCTTGTGCCTTGGAATAAATCAAAGTAAAACTTACTAACCATGCTGTTATGAAATTATGATTTTACAGATCTTAGAATAAACCATATAATTGCTTTGTTCCCATAATCTGGAACACTTTGAAAAATATATTCAATTATTCAACATGTGAATAAATAGCACCATTGTTTTGTGTCTATTTTTTGTGATTATTACCACTTGTATTATTTACAGATTATTATAATTTTCTAATTAATTTCTTCACAGGATATATTGTCAACAAGGCACAAAGGCCAATCATTGTTGAATGCTGTTACCGCCAAAGGGGAGCGCATATTGCCCCATTCATCTGATGCTGGCAAGATTAAGATACAGACAGAACTAGATACTTGCAAACAACAGTATAATGATGCCATTGATGAATGTAGCAAGTTGAAGAAAGAATTGGAACATGCCACCCAGTTGTGGAATACATATCTGTCGTGCAAGGAGAAACTTGAGAGTTGGATGGTGGATGTGGATAAGCAGGTAGAATGCCTTAAAGAACTCAAATCCACCATTGCAGAAAAGAAAGTTAAGCAAGATAGAACAAAGGTATGTCTATAGGCTTAAGGTAGGCACACACAGTGACCAATGGTCATGATTTTAATGACAATCCATCAAGCCTGCCATCGACAAGCAGCAGATGGTGTCACAAAGTTAGGCACTTTCTGGGAGTGGAGATGGCTGACAGTTGTACCATGCAGCATTGTCTTAAAACAAAACACCAAGTGCCTTTACACTGCTGCAGTGAACAATTTTACTATAGTCTGTTGAATTATTTTACAAATAAGCATATAATCTAAATTTAATTATTCATTTGCTAATTGAAAGTCTAGTAGATATATTGCTTAAATTTGCTACCTTCTCCATAACCATAGGTGCTACAAAATGAAGCTGCAAGCCACAAGAAAGACCATCATTCTGTCAGACAGGCATCCGAGCAGCTAGTTCAACTCAATCCAGATGACAGTGTCCTAAGTGAAGAAGTTTCATATCTTGGACAGAAATACCAGCAACTCTTGGATGCCTTGAAGGTCAGTCCCCTCTTATTATGCTACATCAATTCGTATATAAAATATATTAAATCAATACTACAAATCAAAACAAAAAAAAATCTTTTTTTTTTACATTGTTAAGGATCTTTGTGAGAATGCAGTAGAGGCTGTCAAAGATCATCAAAAGTACCAAAAGGAACTGCAAGACCTTAATGATTGGCTAAAGGATGCTAGGCAGAAAGTCACAATGGTCTCTGACACAAGTGGTAAAAAGCAAGTGATATATGACAAATTAGCAGCTGCAAAGGTGAGTATTAAGTCAGTGTTTTCCCCCCACAAAATATTTATTCCATTATTTTTGGACACACAGTGTTGTATGATTACATTTAATTTTTTGATATTTATAGGAGCTCCTTGACCTTATGGACCAAGGCAAACAACTCCTTGATAATGTCACTGGCATTAGTGAAACTGTGCTTCTCAACACTGCTGATATTGGACAGATTACCATTCTAAACCAACTGGACAAAGCCAAACAGGACTACAACAGTCTTCTAAATGTTCTTAATACTAGCAAGGCAAAACTGGAGAACTGTGCAGAGCAGTGGGACAGCTATGATACAAGCAAGGCTGAGTTGCTTACTTGGATGGAATCCTATGAGGACGAACTTGCTAAAGGAGTTAAGCCTCAGACTGAGTTTCAGCAAAAAGCATCTCAGAAGCAAAAATTTAAGGTAATTTTAAACTGCAATTTGTGTAAATTGATCCTAATCACCTACACATTTTTTTTTAGATTAAAACCAATGTATCAAACTTTAACATCAATATTTGATTTTCTATTTGAATTAACAGGAGGTTCAAGAAAGCATTGTTGCTAAGCAAGTATCATTTGAGACCTTGAGCAGCCAAGCTCAGTCCCTTCTGGAGACAAGTGCTGGTAATGTTGGTGTTGCCAGTGATGCAACAAGAATGACAACAAGATTTCAGAAACTAGTTATGAAAGCCAAGGTACATTTAACATATATCAATTCCTTTTTGATACAGTAATGGGAATAATGAGGAAAAAGTTGGTAGTATTATAATTGTAATGTTTATTGAAGTAGATGTTATCAGAACAGGTATGAATTTTAATTTATTATTGTGCTCTTTTTATTTATACAGGAAGCAGTAAGAAAGTCAGAACAAGATACTCAGAACCATGAGCAGTACCAGAATGCATTGCAAGAGTTCAATGACTATATGGATGCAGCTGAAATGAGTTTGAACCAGAACAGCAATGTTATTGGGGATAAAAACACCTGTGAAACAAGACTGAACAACCTCTTGGTAAGGGAATAATACCTAATCACAACGCAATACAGTTGTTTTACACTGACATAATATAAATGTTTTGATGTACAATGGAATGAAATATGATGCCTGCAGAGTAACATATATTTTGTCAAATTTTGAATATTTAATTTGTAATATGAATTTTTCTTTAAAATTGGTTTCATCAACATTATTAGCTCAATAATAGTGTTGATGAATGTTGAGGCTTGCAATCTGTAATTCAGGACTGGGAGAAGTTAAAGACTGGTGGTGGGCAGCTCTGTACATTTTCCAGGAGGCATAAGTTGTAGGCTTTAATATGATTTCTTATATATACATATACCTTAATTTATTTGAAATGTATAGGATTTGTCCAAGGATAAGAAGAAAGGGTCAAGTTTGCTTTCAGCAGTTGTGTCCATTTCTGAGAAGGTTCTTTCAGCTACAGAGCCTTCTGGGCAACAGGCTATTGCAGATGAGGTCCATGCATGCAAGCAGCATTTTAAAGGCTACAAAACGAAGCTGGATGAAAGCAAAATGGTTGTTGAAGATTGTCTTGCTGAATGGCATCACTTTGAAGAATTACAGAATGAAGTTCTTCTGTGGATTGATACTACTGAAGAATATTTCAGCGAAGAACCAAAGCTGAAGTGTAGTTTGACTGAAAAAGAAGAACAACTTGAGAACTGTGAGGTAAGGCTAACTTTGATTTCTTTGTGTTAGTAATTTACATTAGTAAAACATATCTTGTTTTATTGTCAGAAAAATGTTGTTACATTTTAAATTCTGAGGTTAATGTTCAGTGAACACAGAAGATACGAGTCATTGATCTTTGAAACATCCATAACTATATAGTACATCAGGACACAGTCGTACAGTGTACGACTGACAAATCTGTCTTGCTCTATGTTAACATTTTATCGCACAATGCCATCTGCAGATTATCACTGGCAGTCTGAGCAGATCGTCATTAAAAACAATCGGCCATTGGCTGTTCATGCAGTGTGTGCCTGGCTCTATGTTATATATTCCATTAATGACTTTGTCATGACCATTTCAGTTTACTGTAATTTGTGATTTAATTCCTTGTTAGATATGGATATTTTTTTTTTTATTGAATTTTATTTAACTTGAAAAATATGTTATGAAATAAGAAGCAGACTGTGTAAGATAATTTAGTCTATCCTACTGATTTGTTTATTTTGTTATTTTATTATATTATAGGAGAGGCTGGAGAGTGTTGTTACACATGAAGCTGCTGTAAAAAAGTTGTCAGTCACTTGTGAGAGGTTATGTCACATGACTGGGGAAGTCGCTGTGAAGGATACTGTAGGCACCACCAGTGCTAGGTATCACCGATTGGCAGAAGTGGCAAAGGTTGGTATCCTAATTTAAACAATAATACAATGAAGATGTAAAAATATGTATTGTTATTTACCTTAAAACTAAACAACCCTCTTCATTCTCTTTTTGTTGTCATGTGAAGAGATAGACCTTAACTAGAAATAAAGTTAGAAACACATTCACCTCTGACCTCATGACCTCTGATGAGAGTATCATCTTCCATTTTGAAGCAACAGATCAGACATAATTTAGAGTATCAAGTGGTAGTTTATATAGCTGAGTGTTTAGAGTGGCCATATTATGTGATCTTATATTATGATCTGTGTAAGCCAGTTTCATAATACTCATTGCCATATTTGTTATTGTTTAAAAACAGTATAACTACATCTTCTAATGTTGTCAAAGAAAATACTTCATTATTTATCATTTGTGTTTGATTTTCAGGCTCATTGTGATATATTAAAGAAAAGAGTTGTTGAACATCAAGATTTTAACAAAGCATTGATAATGACAAACAACTGGCTGCAGGAACACCAGAGAAAACTTCTAGAATGTTCTTGCTTAGATGGTGACATTGAGGCTGTACAAACTAGACTTGACCATCTCCAGGTAAGTGGCTGTTCTTGAGATCCCAGTGAGCAGATGTGGTTCTACATGGTACATGATTGTTAATGTATTCAATGGCCAAATTAATGATTAAAAGCATATTGAGTTCCTATTTTTGGCTGACACTGCAACAATTACAAGGTTTTTGTTATGTTTGTTGTTGCTGTTGTTGATATCATTATATCATTTTTTTTTTGTTATTGCAAATTATACTAGTAAACTCTCCTCATCTTCCTCCTTCTGCCCTCCTATGAAAACTTTAGGAGCTTGCTTGTATATATTTTATTGTATTTATTGTATTATATTTTTGTTGGTAATAGTGTTGCACTTATTTATTATTATTATTATTATTATTATTATTATTATTATTATTATTATTATTATTATTATTATTAGTTTAACATCTTTCATTCATATCTTAAAGTGAGCCTACTTGCAAATAATAGATATTAATAATATAATACTTAAATTCTATCTTCAGCATGTGATTGATGAATTATCTCAAGGTATTTCAAACTTAGACCAAAGTGAAAAACTTGCAGAAACTGTCATTCCATCAACACTCCCAGCTGGCTGCAAAGAAATTGAAGGTAAACTTGGAGAATCTAGACATGAACTGGAAATGCTAGAAGCAAATGCTGAGGAGCTGAAGAACAAATTAGAGATATGTCGACAGCAGTGGCAAGAGTTCCTAGTGTGTGTCAACAACTTGGGAGCTTGGTTGTCAAACGTTGAATCCATGACATCAAGTGAACATCAGTTGAATAAAGATTTGGAGGAAAAAGTAGAAAAAGAGATGGTTTGCAAGGTAACGCTGTTGATCAGTTTTTTTTTTAAACCTGACCTGGTAGCTTAAAATAGTTATGAAAGAGTTCTCACTGGAAATTGTTGATTTTTACCATTTATTTTAGGAACTTCTTGATGATGTTGTAAGTCACGAAGAGGCTCTTGCAGAAGCTTTTGAGAAATCAAAACCTCTCTTGGACACTAGTGATGCTGATGCTTCCATCAATGGTCAACTTGATGAAGTCTCCACCAGATATCACATGATCAAAGAAAAAGCTAAGGTAAGGTATAAAAAGAGGGTGTTATTGCTACAAACAAAATAAGCAGGAAGGAATATTGCAAAGTGCTAGGCAGTTAAAAGAAAGGGGTTAGTTATATAAGTTAAATTTTATATACTGTAGATTATTGTACCAATATTCTTTATTATTACAGGAAATGTTGGAGAATTCACAAAAGGTTGTTGAAGATCACAAGACCTACAATCAGTCCTTAAATGAGTTTAATGAAAGTTTGAATGAAGCAGAGAAAAAGATTAAACTGCAATATCATCTTGAGGGTAGCAAACAAGATGTGGATGCAAGACACCAAGTTGTTAAAGTGAGTTCAATTTTTTTCAATACAGGGCTGAATTCTAAGCATTTAGCAATCTTTCTTCAGAAGAGACTTTTAATACGTTATTTTCATGTGCATTACCCATGTGCAAGTTATAGAATGCATTACACGCTTCCGAAAAGAGTTGTGGCTTGCTTCTTAGCAATTTCTTCAATTCATTACCATTAGGACCCCACTGGAAATTATATGGTATGTTTGTATGTTTCACACCCAAAACCCCAACAAATCATTTATATTTTCTATGTTTTGAGAATGTTCTTATTTTTTTTTTTTAATTTAAAGGATATTTGCAAGCAATTGCCAGAAAATGAGTCCAAATTAATTGCATGTTCAACAAAGTACAAAGGAGTTTTACAACAGACCAGTGATGAGGGTCAGTTGCTTCTAACCAGTCAAATGAAAGATCTCCAGCAACGTTCCAGCAAGCATGCTGTGATGGCAGCTGAAGGCAATGATGGCCTAGCTAAACGGGCTGAGCAATGGATGCTGTTTGAAGACAAGGCTGAGGACTTTAAATGTTGGTTGACCAATGTGGAAAAGTTTCTGGCTGATGAACCAGAGAAATTAGTTAGCTTGGATGAGAAGAAACAACAATATGAAAAATATGCTGTAAGTTGCATTGATATCTATAAATTTAGTATCACATAATTTTTATGTATAAAATATATTACATTGCCTTTTTGTTGTTATATAATCATGGATTTTTTTGTATATGTTTCAGGGTATTGCACATGAAATTGAAAACCATAAATCTCAACTTTACCAAGTTGACCAGCTAGCACAGGAACTTCTCACATTAGATACTGGCAGTACAGATGTCAAAGGTCAGCTGCAAGGTCTACAACACCGATATGAGGCATTGACTTTGAAGTCTAAGGTAAAATTTTTAGTCAGCATTAACATATTTCATACAGTAATATTTTAAATAACAGGATCTTTATTCACTGTTGTGATGTATTGAAATTTGTATTATCTCTTTTTCTTGTGGTTATGTAGTGCTTTGTAGCTATTTTAGTTAAGAATAAACAAGTTTTTGTATCCCAATTAGGAGAAGGATCATTTGAAAATTTTAGAAAAATGATTACAATTTTCATTTTGTTTTTACAACTTAGGATGTGGCAGAACCAATGAAGACCAGCATTGCTGATCAACAACAATACCATGATGCTTTGAAAGAGGCTGAGTGTGCAGTTCTTCAAATCTCAAAGAAGCTGACATCATGCAATCCAGTAGCAGAGGGAGGTCTTGAAGCCACACAAGCTCTTGTGGCACAGCATCAGGTAAATAGCAACATTATTATTATTATTAACATTAATAACAGGATTGTTACAAAATAAATGTAAGATTGTCGTCCTGCCAACAAGTATTACTTAGTAAGAACCAGAAATTTTGAAACGGTAGTAATTTCCCAAAGCCTGTGAAGTAATCATTATAATATTTCCATTTCTTTCGGTAATTGACAGTTTGCTTTTAATGGAATTTTTTCAACTTGTTTAATAACATTCTTTTTAACATTGTTAACATCATTTTAGTTAGCACTCTATGTTTTTATTTTGCTTGTGATGGAAACTTGTTTTCTGGTATTGATATGTCTGTCTTTGTAATTTTAGCCTGGTGAATTTCTTATTATCTTGTGCTTGCTTCTGAATTAAAATCTGCATTATGGTACTTGTCTTTGCATAAATTGTATTAATCTAGATGTTGTTTAGTTGTCGGCATGTGTGTATAATTTTATGTTAGGGCACTCTCCGCGAACTTGCTGCCTGTGGCGCACAAATGGAAGACCTACAATCAAAAGCTAAGAGCTTAGCATTGTCTGCTAGAGAAACTCCAGAACTTGAGATCCTGATGCAAGAGCAGTTAGCTAAACTTGATCAAACCTTACAAGCTGTTAGTAGAAGTGCTAATGAGATTCAGGCAGAACTGCAGGAATCCATGCACAAACAACAAGCCTTTGAAGAAGCGGTTAACAAATGCTATGATTGGATGCAGAGTATTGACAACGAAATGCTCAATCAGCCAATCACAACCGAGAGTCTTGATGATGCACAAAATCAGCTTGTGACAACACAGGTAATATGAGTATAACACAGTGTGCTTTTGTAGCTTGAAACTAATATTTGTTGTCTGCTTGTAGTATGGGATAGAAAATGTATGCGTGAGTTACTGGTCAACTTTCCGTAAAAACAAGTGCCCAATAACATTTATCAAAACTTCTAAAAGAGTATATCTCTGCATTAATAAATTATATACAGAAAAGAATTGAAGGTTAAAGCTTATGTCTTTATATTTTGTGCAATTCAATCAGAAAATAGGTTAAATGACGTGCATTATAAAAAAAAAAAGGTCAACAGACAATTTAACATGCATTCTGGGAATTTTCAGGAAGGTTGATCTGTGACACTTCTTGTTTTTAATTTATTATTTTAAATGTGTAGTTTTCTATGTATCTGTAATAGTATATCTACTCTCATTTATAACATTTACCACTGCTCACTCCCTCAGAACTACAGTATCATGGATCTAAGAGCATTTATGGATACCTACTCCATACATTCTGTAGATAAAAGTTGGAAACAAATAATAATTTTATATGATGTTTGAAATAGGAAATCCTGGATAATGCTGTGTCACATCAGCAGCTGTTGTCGGCTGCAGAAGACAGGATTGAAGTGCCGGCAGATGAATCGTTTAGTAACACACGAGCCGGTCAAGTGGAACTGCAGTTAAATGTCCTAATTGAAACGGTAATTATGTAAAAAATTTTTACCAAGCAAGATCCTAATTAACCGTCAGGTCTCCCATGTTTTTTGCAGTGGTTTCACCATTTGGGGTCAGTAGCAATTTCTTCTTGTCCGACAGGCATGGCCCCCTGTTGTCGATTGCCATTTGAGATCATCTGTTTTGTTGCATTTTTTTTTAGTACAAAAAATACAAACATACAAATGTATTTTGACTATGATCTAACTCACAAAAAATATAAAAGACTAAGTTTGTGTTGATATTTGAAAAAGAGAATTGGAATCGTTTGCTTCTAGGTCACATAATCTAGGACACCTCCCTGTACTTAGGCCATCTTCTGCAAAAACACAACTTAACATTGTATAAAGCTTCAGTATGTAGCTGAATGCCAAGGATTTTATGAGAGAGAAAACAGATTTTTTTATTTCTCATTTATTATTAATTTATAATTTACAATTACAGGCTGATTTTAGACTGAAAGAAATGAATGGTCAGGTGGGACGTTGGCAACAACTGGTCAAGAAACTAGATGAACTGAAGAATTGGCTCGCTGACATGGCAACCAAGATCAAAGATGAAGAATCAAAACCAGTTGACTTGGAAAAGCCTAAGGCACGGCAGGCCATCCAGCAATTACAGGTACAAAAAAGATTGCCCATTCAGACAAATCCTTGCATCACCAATATACTGATTATTATACTGATAAACTGCTTATTATGAATATTTTCTGTTTAGGAATTAGTTGGAGTAATAAAAGGAAAGAATCCAGAGATACAGTCTTTGGTAAATAAATACCAAAGACTGAGTAGTGTTCCAAATAAAGATCTTGAAGAACTGCAAGAAAACATGAAAAATCTAGAAGAATCAGCTTCAGATTTGATCAAATGTCGGAAGGACAACCTAAAGCAGATTGAGGGTTATCATAAAGTCCAGAATCTTGTGAGGGATCTCCTTGAGAAAACAACCAAAGAGTTTGATATGCTACAGAAAGAGACAATTGTGTCAACAGCAACTAAGCTTGAAATGTCAAAGGTAAGAATTTACATATTAACAATTTAAAAAAAAAATTGTGCTGTAAAGTTATAATAAAGAAATATTTGATATTATTTTGTTGACAGAAGCGACCTTGCTAATAAAGTGGTATAAATTTGTTTAATGAATAATATAGTTAAGGATTGTTGGGTGGCGATAACGCCTATGGTGCAGCAGTATCAAAGATGACATTAGTGAAGGTGATGATTAGGCACGATTTAAATTTTGTTGCCTGAAATTTTGTACTAACAGTATTATGTAATGTTAAACATAGCAATAATTATGCATCACATCAAAGTTAATACAGTAATTGTTTAATATACAAAAAACAAAAATTATGTTGTATTCAGAGATCGCTAAAAGATTAAAAAGTCTAAAATGATTGCTTCAAAAAAATAGAGTTAGGGCTTAATTAGTAAAATATTACAAAAACTAATTAATATATTTCATACACCAGCACAAGGTCAAATGTAAGGGTTTCATATAAAGCTTCATATAAACCATTTACATTCGTGTGGAACAGCATCCATTATTTTTTAATGTATAGCCGGTTCTTATTTATAATGGTATAATTTGTTTTAAATTTTGGGAATTTTTTGAATATATAACTGCTACAAAGCTGTTGAGGGACCATCACCCAATTTACAGAAAAGCCTATTTACATTACAAGATGCCCCTGACATGAATTAAAAAAAAAATAAATAAAAAGATACACTGTTTATTCAACTTTGAACAATATAATCTATAATGATTATTATATGTTTAATTTAAGAAAATATCTGTTTTTAAATAGCTCCAAAATGACACCAAAATCAGCTCTGTAGGTGCTATACTTCCGGAGATATTGATAGTTTAATTTGCGAGGTACTGCAAAGTTTGTTAGCTAATTAATGAAGCGGTGATGTGCAAAAATATTTCATTGCTGGCCGTTTCTTTTGGGTACCAGTCACATACTGTACTCTTCAAAAAGTTGAGAAAAATTCGGAGAAGTTTTATGGTTGATTTAACATGGAATGACCCAAGTGAAAGCTGACTAAAGTGCAACTGTGTCAGTTGAGTTTACCTGCAATGGTTGCATAAGCTTATCTTGACATTCAAAGCTCTCTTGGGAGGACAATTCCATAAGCGGCTAGAAACAGCACTTGACGCAGGGTTCCCGGAACGCCGCCCCCAGCGGCGAGTGCGAAGCACAACTCAGGGTCAAAAGTGGAACATGAAATTTGGATATGGTTTTGTAGTCAGATTTTCGAGAAAAACTTCAGCTACCCGTATTTCTCGACTGAGACGTCAGTGGGAGCTGTAATTTGTATGGCAAGGAGATTGAGCAACCCTTCATCACATTAAGGGAATTTACGCCCAGAAACTTTGTAGTTATTAATATTTTGGTTGTAATAGAAAATATTCATTTTTTGGTGACGTCACACTCACATTAGTTAGCATGCATACGTCATAAGCTAGATACGTCACCTTTTCCTGGTAAGGCAAACTTTCCCGGCGTGCTTTTTCATGGATAAACAAACACCACTGCTTTGCACATGGATGCCTTACCCAAGCCAGGGCTACAAGAGCTGCATTTTTAGCATTGTATAATACTTAAATAAGGTACCTCTGCAAATGAATTATTCTTAGTTATTTTTTTTTCGTATTTTAATTTATTTCTTCCGAAAGTGTACTTTCTATCACATATAATTCCACTGTCTTAGTTAGGCCTAGTCTTATGCCTCATTGTCCCCTGCTACACAGTACATCAGCAGCCCCTTCCCCATACAGTACAGACGTTTGCTAGGTAACAATGTGATTGCACCTTCCTTCCCAGGTGTTCATGTAACATTGACATAATTGTTAGCTAACCAATTGTGTGTATTTCTTTGTGAAAATGAGTACCGTGACATACTCATATTCACAAAGCATTTGCATCCCCTCTGGGAAAGAGGTATTCGAAATAATTAATAATCACCGTAATTTAGCTTACACTTAAGAATTTAGGGAGCACTTGAATGTGAAATAATCATTTCACTACCGACAAACTCCGAACTTTATTCATTCATTAGGCCTACATAATAGTTTCAAATTGCTGTACTAAGTCCAACATCACTGGCGCATGGTAACAACCAACTGACTGCAGACCATTTCCGGTCACACATTACTCTCCATAACACAGCACCCCCTAGTTCCGTCACCTCTGGATATTAGATCCTACCAGTTACCCACTTATACATACTCATGGATGGAGAGAGACAAACATAGATAAAGTGTCTTCTCCAGGGACATAAGTGACTTCCACAGCAAGGGTTTTGAACCCCTGGCCTCAAGGTTAAGAATCCGAGCCACAATTGTTGTGTCAAACGCTTCTACAAATGGTAGTCAATACAACCATTTAATATGCAAATTATTATCTACATTGTCATGTTGGTTGTTAAGTCCAAGGCTCTTGTAGGTTCAAAGTCATATGCTTAATTAAAAGCAACCCTGATAAATTTTTAACTGTGGTTACCCTAATTGAGGGTGTCATGTTTACCTGCACTAATTTATTCAGTGCTGTTGATGCCTTCAAATGATCAATATTGGTAATGACATTTCAAAGATTACTAAATAGACAACACCAAGGTTTAGTGAGTGCTTTTAATATATTTATGAGATGATCAACTGCAGTATGTGAATGATAAATAGCACCCATCATTTTATTGAGTCCTTGATAATAAACAGTGTGTTATATTGATATGATGTCATCACTTTCATTTGCATGTAATTTTCCTATCCCTGATCAATCACCAATTCGATAAAGTGTCTCCGATTTTTAGTGTCTTGTGTGCAAAAAGCTCAATGGAAGCTGGGGTTTTACATGGCATCGCGATGAATATTTCTTTGCCAGCCAAGCTCAGAATGCACTAACAAATCTTGCTCAACAGCGCTAGTTGACACGTATGAAGCCTAGACCACCGACCTAGGCAAGGCCTAGAAAGGCATATGGTTGTGAGATAACAAGGCAATTAACTAATTATAAATGGACTGAAAAGAGAAGGCAATGCTGAAATAATTCATAATGTTTACAATACATTTTAATCTATTAAAGAAATAGATAGATAGATAGTCACTTTATTTAATCACAAAAACTTATTCAATAAAAATGATATTGTTCTATCATAAGAACGTGATTAAAAACACCATAAATACATGAAAAACAGGTTAATATAAAAACAGCAAAAATAGCAAATACATTATAAATACACTTAAAAACCATCATAAAAAATGTTAAAAATGACATCATTAAAAAGCTAAACATTACATCAAAATGCAAGTTATAAAAAGCAGGAAAAGAAAAGGGGAAAAAGTGAAAACATGTGTCAATCAGGTGGTTTGGCCTACCTAAAATTCATCACCAACAATCAATTTACTCATCTTCAGTGTGTACTGAAGAGTTGTGCGCAGAGTGTCAGTGCGTGTACTACTACTACTACAGTACTACGGCCGTTCCGTGGCAAAACAACGTAACCTGAAATTTTCACTTTTGGAGAAAAATAGAGTTAAAGTTTGCATGTTCGTAACTTTGCAATAAATTGTTGTAGCCTTTTTGAAATTTGCATTATTGTATATCTATAGACATTGTGATTATATTTAAAATTTTAATTACAACCATTTGTATATTGCAAAGTTATTAGCAATAATTACAGATATGTTGTTTTGCCACGGAAACATGTCAGGCTCGGTATTGTTGCAAGTGCGACGTATTTTTGAATTTATCACGTTTGGGGTAATCATATGCATTACCTAGCCTGTTCATACATTGCTGTTTAAGATTATTGATATAAAAACACCAATAACCATATGATTTTGCCTTGTCAAACTCCATCGGCTCAAGACCATTTTTGAATACCATTCCGTGGCAAAACAAAGTGTCTTCATCGCAGATACGTTGTTTTGCCGCGTAATCTTGTAGTTACATTGTTTTACCACGGAAAATCACTAGAATTTAAGTTTTGTGCTTAAAGATAGGTGGTGCTATCTCCGAAACGACTCATTATTGAGACCTGAAAGTTTCACAGGTAATTCAGACATGTAATATACTCCCAAATGATATTATCTCAAAAATGTCAGTTACGTTGTTTTGCCTCGGGACCGCCGACCAGTAAACCATTCTCATACAGTTAATGCACACATATATTGATCACTGAACAACCAGTCACTGTAACCTGGCAGTTTGATTTATTGTATTCTAAATATAATTATATAAAATGGATTGGCTGATAAAATCAATTATAGTAAATTGTTTTGGATCCTGCAGGCTTCAGGCAATTCTATTTAGGAAATAATGGCTCCTTCGGCCTCTTTTTCTATGGACCTCAGAACTTGACTGTATAGATGCATAGTATGTCATGAATGATAAAAAAGCATTAGTGTCTTCTTCATGTTAAGTATTGTATCTTTATGTCCAATGTTTTCATGATACTAAGAAAAAAATAAAAACATCCAACATCAAGTGAGTATTCCTTATTGACATTTAGTATAAGGTGATCAGAAATTAGTCTGAAGGTTTAATGATAAAAAATACACAAATGACAAAGATAAAAATGCATCCGTCATTTTCAGTGTAATTTAGGTATAAAATATCATGTCCTTGTGCCTAATGGTACAAAAAACACCCAGAATCTAATGAGTATTCTTGATTGGTATTTCGTAAGAGATGATCAGAAGTTGTCTGAAGTTTCACTAATAAAAAAGGACACAGCAATGTTATTGTAACTATATTTCCCCTAAAAATCCCCTTGCATGTGAAAGACCAGTTCTTAAGATACTGTGGACATACTAGAGACATACCATTGCTCACAAATGCCCCATTACCAGCAGGTCAGGTATTACGTAGATGACCTGTGCATAACAACACATTTGATATCTTTTTATTAAACTCATTTCTTGTGAAACTGACCCCATGCTGAGTAAATATATTTGAATATACCAAAGTAAAGTGTTGGTTGTAAATTCCCTTGTGTTGTCCAGTGCCTGAGGCATGTGCCTATAGATTACCTCCCAGAGATCAATATTCTTTAATCTCTACATACACTTGTAGCCCTATTGATCCCAGCTTTACCTTGTCATGAAGGTAAACTCCAAGTATGGAGATATAATCTATACCTAAAGTCCTTGGAAGTAATAAATGCTCCTGTTTGTGTCTGGTGTAATTATTTAGTAATTTGTCTATAAAATGCATGATGGTGTCTCTATTGTTCTGGAGTCATGACAGTTGAAGGGTTCATGATATGTTTATGACAGATATTCACAAAGCTACAGTATGATTAATGAATACATCATTGACAAAATGGCGAATTGATCATACATAAATACTTTTAATACATTCATATGTATTAATTACTGTCTCTGAAAATTATTTCAAAGCGGTCATCAATTATATTTGTGAAATTGTTAAAGGATTTACCTTAACTCTGATAAAAGTTGAAAATATTTTTTCTATTAAACAAATGCAGAAATTGTATTTTTATCAACTTGTTTTAATTGAAAAAAACTATAATTGTTTTTCAAATATTAAATAATACTTTACACGCTCCCTTATTTATGGAGTGCAGTTGTAGCCTTGTGGCTAAGAGTTCAAATCCAGCGACACCAGGAGTTTTTCTCATGATGAAAAAAATCAAATCTACTTTTTAAGCCCCTAAAAAGATTTGTTAAATTTTTAAAGCATCAATTCTTGATGGATGCAGAAAAGAGTGAAAGAGAGAAGAAAAGAAAGAAACAGGGGGACACAGTACTCCAAAACCAGCTAATTTGCAATTTAAATTCCACCAGTGTCTATGGTTAGACGTGTCTAAACAATCTCAAACACCCCCACCCTCTCGGTGCTTTGAACCTCACATTGCCCCTACCCAGATTTTTCTCTTGATCCGCCCCTGTCATTTATTTGTTGTTGGATGAAAATTAGTTTTATAATTTATAGTAAAGAAAATTAGTTTTATAATTTATAGTAAAAAATACAAACTGTTGTGTCAAACCTTAATTATTGAGAAATACAGTTTGATTTTTATGTCTATTCAATTCAATTAAGTATTAGTTTATTGGTACTTAAGTCATCCTATTGTCCACATTACAACAATAATATGACAAGTGTTCTATAAAACATTAATACAAACAATTACAATACTACTGGTGAGAGATTTTGAGTAAAAACTCTGCTGATGGTGGAGTGATATTTTCTTTTGTGACATAAGTAGTTGAAGGTGATTTGTGCTACAGTACAGTAGTTGGTGATGTCTATTGATTAGCATATTAAACCCCTCCCACTGCACATCACTCTAGACTGCTATTTGTGCCTCAATATTGTCTGTGGACTTTAAAATCAATATTAAGAAGTAACTCAAACATCTTGCTTTAATTGAGAAAATGCTTTAGGTGGCCCTGGCTTACTCTGTGTTTGTCTATAGGATGAAAAGCTACTGGTTTTGTTATCAATTAGATTTTGATATAAATTGCTTGTAATGGGTTTTGTTTAAAACCTAATCATTTAGCAAAATGGGTGTTGAGAGTTCTAAAGAGCCAGGAAATGGAGAATGTCAGGCAAAACGGCGCAAAAATCGGGTTAGTAACTTAGTCGTGTCATTCTGTTGCTAGCAGATTGACACTTTTACATTTAAGTCGCAAATTAATTTTGTATTTTTTTTGTTGTACATTGTTGCCAGACACTTAATAATAGAGGACTTTTTAAATTCTAGTCATTAAATTAGGGATTTAGCTTCAGGTTGAATAAAGATATTATATAGAGATGTTTTATGC